TCTGTGCATTATTATTATTCTACAAGTCCTAAGAACTATGACCTGCATCCCAAACCCATGGTACAAACTAAACACAGACTTAACTACAAAACTCTAATGTACCGATAAACATAAAATATGCAAATTTAATAGTTCACCGTCATCTGGACGATGACAGTGTTTTTGTGCAGTATACCACACGTAAACTTTAATTGATTATAATATATGGTGTGCACGGTAAAAGTAAAACACGACAAACGCAGCATGTGATTATAATGATTGGTCGAAATAAAATATAAACAATATAATATAGTCATCGCACACATTCGTGGCATGGTCATTTTGCCACGAATTTGATCATTTGAAAATATTTTCGGTTGTATTATTTTGAGTGGCTAACGAGCGAGTATCAGGTTTTTCGCGATTATCGATAAATTTTATTATAAATTACCTAATGAACTATATTATTGTGCTTACTCTAACAATGATAACAAGTATAAAACTTGTTTTTGGCAATAATAAAATATGTAGTGTACAAAACCGTTGAACTATCCGTACATCCAATACATCTCATAAGATAATATTACCATACTGGTGCTTATTATAACTGTTATGTAGTACTGCAGTACCTACGTCATAATATAAATTATTAGTTTAATGACCGAACAAAATATACGTCATAATATTTCGTTTTAAAAAAACCGGTATGGAACGAGGTCGTAGATATTATTATCCATAAATCATAATATATTATGAATCAGACTTTAAATTCTAATTTTAGAACAAAGTTTTTATTGACTGACATTGATACGCGTATTGATTAACTAGTCTCGCTAACTAATTATCCCGAGCTGTAAGCAAAATTTGGTAACCAAATATTTAATTCAAACCCTTAATGACGAAGAGAGTTCATACTTAAATACACAATTTAATTTGAAATCAAAAATGTTATTTAAACGGCACTTAAAAGTTAAAACATTTATATTATTGTATGTTATAATAATAATTAGTTATTTATTATGTATTAAAAACAAAATTAAACTTACAAGTAAATAACAGTAAGGTATCATATATTTATTGATGACGTTTTCAATTTAATTTTACTTCGAATATTTGTTCAATTAATAATATTATCGTATTTTAACTTTAATTCAATCTTGTTTAGTTAAATTATAAAACATGATACAATTTATAACCTTATTTATTTCATTGAAAGCGGATATTTGAACTGTGAAGTGTAAGAACACCACGAGAAAACATACTTTTATGGAATACCCAATGGTCCCAATGATATTTGAATAATAATATTTCTGTATGGTTTATATAAATAATGATACATTTTGACTAATCTAAAACCTTCCATTTTTATATGGGGTTTTAAAGGAAATTACATTTTAAGAAAAATGAGTTTTTAGCATGGATTTTTTTCTTTCTACGTCAAACTATTGTGGATTAGAACTGTAATGGCAAAAAAAAATCTCAGATCGATTTGATTAAATTTGTTTTTTTTTTGTATTTAAAAAAATTCTAAAGCCAATAATATGACTTTTCCTAAACTTCAAAATGAATATTATTGGTTTTCATTAAGTATACTCATATAATATTCATAAGCGTTATGATTAAACATAATATTAAACACTATTTTACTAAAATTTCCTGGCCAATATTTTGTACCCTAACCAAATGTTAAATATTATACACTATGTATATTGTATAGTTTATACAGCAGGAATTACCAATGAATTTATATATAGGATCGCTTTAGAAATTTGGGAAGTTTAAAAAAATTATGGTAAAAATCAAAAAATTAAATTAAAACTAGTGAACACTTCATTTGAATTCAACTCAATTTAACACTAAAAATAAACGCAGTCTTGTCTGCGGTGGCAGACAAAGTTCATCTACCACTGTTTGACCCCTATAGTCTCCACCGTGTTTACTCGGCACACCCAATCGAGTACTATATTGTTATAATACACGTTTATGACATCTATATATATGACTCTAACAACTACTACACAGCTGACAGTTTACAACCAACAAAATATTATCTATATTTTGAATAGGTACTTAATTTAAATCAATAAATCGACTTTAAAACAAATTCACATTAATTAATTAGTGCCAAGAACTGGCTTACAGATGACAAAAATATAAAACATTAAACTAAACCGAAAAATACTTTAAATTGTAACAATAATTATACTATAGTGATAACTATAATAACTTTATAATATATTAAAAACGGGAAAAAAGTTACTGGCGAGGAAACATATGGTGAAAAAAACTCATAACAAACCACCCCGACCAAAGTTGGACAACGAACTTCATATGCGACTTTTTGCATAGCCCAACCCGACGCCGACTGCAAATTTTAATGTCACATCGCACCTGGACATGTTATAATACAAAACATATAATACGAATAAGGAATGTGGTACTGTTATATACGAATTATAAAAATATTAAATAATATGAATTTTGTCTCAACATATTTATATATTTCAAAGATAAACTATAATTAACCTATACCTACAATCAGTACAATCCAATTATTCGAAACGAAATACCTAATGTACTAGTTGAGGGAGTAGCTTGCCTCAAGGTATCATGAATCTGTTTTATAATAATAATGACGTCAGATAAATTACCATTTTTTCAGCAATTATGAGTCATATTATTTACAATTTTACGCACCGCTTGCTAAGCTCTCGATGTTGCACATCACTGCAGGTTCATGGTTGTCAATGTGGTTTCTCTTGCCAGAGTCAAGAGAGATACCAGAAATTCCTGAAAATTATTTCTATTTGACTATTGATCAGTAAAACAAATAATAGCATTCTGTTTTAACCATTAATGCAACAGGTAGATACACACAATCGTGACAAATGGATTTTTATTTAGGTACCTATATCAAGATAAAAATTAAATGTTTATGTATTCTAATCTGTTCATAATAATTTAACACCAATCAATTCGATTTCAGCAATAATTCCACAAATAAAATATGTAAATTGATTTTAATATTTTGTAAAAATAATTAATGTTTTAAACCACCATTAAATTCATCAATTTAATCTTAACCATTATCATACTATTCTAAATAATTTAAAATTAAACCGATGGGATAAATAATTGTTATAATTTGATTTTGTATTTTTTTACTTGGATGTAAACCTATTTTTAACTCAAAAAAAATATCATAAATACAATTAGAATAACATTAATTACCTACTTACTAATTGCATACAATTCCACGGGCCTCGTTCAAAACCTCACACTTATCATCCTTAACTGCACATTTTACACTGCACACATTTTTTCTATTGCTGAAAAGTGAAAAATGAAAATTAGAAAGTCAATAATAATTCAAAACCACACACGTGTCATTTATAGTTAAAAATTAATCATATTTTATTCATTATTGTTTTAAAACAAATCGTTACATGATATTTTATAAAATGTGTCTTGGTGTGGTGCGATGATGTGTGCATTCAGTCACTAAACGTGTTCCGAATGTAAGCACCGGCCGGGGTAACTAGTTCCCGGATGGGTGACCAACCGGATTTCTAGCGACGAATCCTTGTCACACATATGCTTGTACAAACCAACTTCACAGTCCCTCATAGTAACAGGCAAATGACATCAGTTGTCCAGGACTTAAAAAAGAAAACTTCAATATTACTTTGTGGTTATGTTCACTTTTGTTGTGTTTAATACTTTAATGAATACATTTACATCTGCATTTGTCGTCACCATAACACTACATAATTTAATATTTCAACGTCTATAACGATTCCAAACGATAATGTGATTTAAGGTAAATGTGTGCTTTATAAATACGTATCAGTGTGTCACACTGTGTGTGCGGTATTGATGGTTTAGATTTGTGATAAATGTGGGGAATTTATCTTTAAAAGTGTGCGGATTTGAACGATGACCTTTTTTTGAAAGTGAGCCGTTTGACGACCGCCGAACTCCACTTAGTAGGTAATATCGATAAAATAAAATATGCTACTATAATATCTGCGAGACTGATAAAAACTGTGAGTTGATCCATAATACTTGGTATTTTTGTTTTTCGAGCAAGTATTTTCAATGGTATTTTGATTGAACAAAGTTCCTTTCATTATAATGGCAAGTCTAGTGACTTACGAGAAGACATAATTACCGATACACGAACAATTTAGTGTCACCAACTCAGGACCGAATTAAGAGTTTACCGGGCCTGGAGCCCAGTAGTCCAAAGGGCCCTTAATTCATACACTATTAATAACCAATAACTGAATTTTATTTATTTAAAAAAATGATACAAATTAATTGAATGTAGGTACAGATATTATATCTTTTTTAATCTTTAAATATTAGTTAATTTTTGTTACATACAAATATACAACATTATTGTTTAAATGTCAAAATAAAAATAAAATATTTTAACTTTATTAGGTACCTTATTTTATTTTATTTTTTTGAAACTCCACAATTATTTCATCTGTATTTATTTCTTTAAGTAGAGATCTCTCAATGGTCATTAATGATAAAGCGTTCAAGCGTGGATTTTTCATGGTAGACCTCAATTCGTTCTTCACTCTTTTCAATTTTGAAAATGCTCTTTCTGCACTGCAGTTGGCAACTGGAAGACATAAATACAATCTATATGCTACTTCCACATTAGGAAACACTGAATTGAGTTTATTATCGTGTATAATTTGAAGACATTTTAGTGCTGGTGGCATTTTAATTTTTCCTTCTTCATCTTGCTCATCAACTAATTTGGTAAAATGTATCATTTCTTCGGGAAAAATGTCACAATCAAGGTCGTCCGGATATATTTTACCAAGATATTTTGTCATATCCACGATTTCTTTCTCAGTCATAGATTTAAAATAAGTAAGAAACCCAAACTTTCTATCTAGATCGTTATATTGTTCAAGTCTTTTTAGCAGGCATATATCTAATGTGTCCATTATAACTATAAATGTTTCAACTCTAAACTTCTCCTGCCCAGAAAAATTGGTCTCTTATTCATTTCGAATCATTTCATCTGGAGTTAATTTACGAATTATTTTTCTTTTTTTTTCAGTATTATACTTTTTAGAAATAACTTTAGAAAGAGATAATGCCACTTTTTCTATATCATTGAAATTGTTTCTTATTGAACCAATATACTCCCGTAAAGATTTTAAAAGCTTAACAGCGACTGATAAATCAAGTGACTTCTCTTGTAATTTTACACTAGTTTTATCAAATCTTTCTAAAATTCTGTTCCATAGTACTGTCATAAAAGCAATATCAAGTGATGTCATTTTGCTAATTATATTTTGTGCTTCGTTTCGTGCATCTTTTTTTATTTCCGTATTTTCACTTAAATATTTTAAACGATTAAGTATGGTATCATAATTCTCACAAAGTACTTTAGTACTTGAATGCAAACAAATTATATTTTATCATACTATTTTTATATTAGGTATAATATAATATCATAAGGTCCTATTATTCCAAACCAATATTACTGCTCGCACGTAAGCAGGTGGTATTAAGCTAGCACATTGCGTAATACATATAGTAAAAATACGAAAATTTTATCAAAATAAAATTTAAACTTAAATTATTTTGAACTTGGTCTGAAATAAAAGGCCCCTTCGGGGCCTTCAATATTTCAGGGCCTGGAGCCCGGGCTCCCAGGCTCCGTGCTTAATCCGGCCCATGTCACCAAGTTGTCGTAATGTCCCCAGGTATTATCATGGAATTTACTGAGCACTTATCATTTTAAAGTGAGCGCATATTTTAATCATATAGACATTTTGTAGATATGAATATACAACCGTATGATATTTTCATCATTAAATGACTTAGATACATATTATCTAATAGATTACAATTTGTAAAGTCACTGACCTTACACTGAGCTGTGGTTACTTAAAAATATTATAAATATTACAATATATGTACCTTCTTATGTAAAATTCATGGTTAATGCCCATTTCGATGCAAAAGTCACTCACGAAATGTAGGTAAAAAATAGATCTAAAGCTCTAGAAAACTATATGCTTATAATATAGATAGACATAATATTCATGTGAGTCTGTGAGTCTAAACTATTGTTGTTTCGGTATTCTAGCCTCTTGTGAAGTATAGACACATCAACCGGAAGAACTGGTACGCTCTAGAACACATGCTGAAAAATATAAGAAAAAAATTATTTGGCATAAAAAAGTATAAAGTTGTAAAAGGGATTGAAGTATTATTTAAGTGGAAATGCGTGTAGTGCAGTTCTTAAACGAAAAAGAATAAATATTAAAAATAAAATAATTCCAAAATATATAAATTCAGTATTATACACTGCATTATTGACAACGATTCACTCGATTGTTTTACCAATTTTTCCACATCTTTATAATACAATTTACAACCGATGGGTTTTTATTATAGTCATGGAGGACGAAAATATGGAGTGAGATAGAAAAAGACAAAGTAGTAATATACGGTGTGTATGTTGGCCAATTAAAATTAATATTTTTAGTACACTTGTGGTTATTATTAATATTATTATTGTACGAGATACCCTGATTAAAATTGATTATTGATTAATGGAATGTGAATAACATAAACCTATAGAAATATATTTATAATTTATAACGGAAATGGAAAGAAAAATGGGTTATTAATTCATCCATGATTTTCTACTTTGTGTTCTTCCTCATTTACTTGGTAAATAACTACGCCTTGAAGAAAGAATTGAATGGAAATCGCTATCCATTAGTTTATAGGTCAACTAAATAAAAAATAATAAAATTGCATACATTTCAAAACCAAATTTTCACTCAATTTTTTCAAATTGTGTAGTATTTTATCTCGATTTATTTGTTATTATAATTTGTTTTATTATACAAAATGTATTTCGAATATATTCAAAAAGTGTACCCATTTACAAATTGACTACAGATTTCTTATTTAATTTAATATTTTAAGTGTAGATAAGTGAACTATTAGTTTTACTATAATTTGTGCCTTTTAAAATATTTTTTCGCTCTCTTGTTTTTAATAAAACGTGATGTAACGTTTTGAGGGTTGAACTGATCTTCACTACAGGGACTCGTTTTTTGAAAGCAGTGATTAAGGCACACGGCCTAATGACCTAGATAACTCCTGTTTCTTAGTTTTTTTAATTAGTTGCCATTAGTTGGATGTTTAACAATATGTCAAGTTTAAGTTATAGATTATAGACGGTTATAATGGACAGTATTGAACAATAATTATCCTGAAAGTTCAATAATTTTGTTTGTTTTTCAAAGTTTTTTTAGCCTACATTAAAAAACACCTTAGCTGTAGGTCGTCCACATTTTCACTATAATTTTAGTAAACAACTTCTACACAAAGAACAGTAATATAGTTTATAGCTTTTTATTGAAATAAATATAGAAGAAGAGTCCAAGAAAAAGAATTTATCTTATATTTTAATTTTTTTAGAATTTCAACGTAAAATTATCTCTAGTAACACAATTACATATTGCATATTTCAGTTTATAACTTAATTATTTGAAAATTATTAAAAAATCGGATTCATTGTATACGTGTATATGAACTGATCGAATAAAAAAATAGATGACAACAGACTCGGTTTAAAATGATTTTTCATTTTGAAATAAATTTTGAAATCCAGTCCTCATACAAACCTGTGTATATTTTTTTGACATGCTTTTTTTCACACACTCTTAAAATAAAAATCTAACCTTTAAATACTAACTTACCTACTGCAGTCGTCGACAGCAATATTGTAAAAAGTTGGAATAGAAAACAAACATATCATAAATATGTGGTCAGAGCCAGCATTAGAGGATAATTTCCATATGATTTGGGTACGTACATTAATAGAAATTATTGGAAATTCATAATTCCATAATATTATAATTATAAACTGTTGGTGTACGCAGAAACTATATTATACACGACTTTAGAAACTTTGATAGTTTAATATAGTTTTGTTATAACGCATATAAGATCCCCCCGTTTTAACTTTCCAATAGAAATGGTAATTGATCATTGAATGTTTCGAGATACTTGTTTAATACAATAATAATATGTTCATCAACGATTCGATTTCTGCATAAAATGTTGCTTCCAAAAATCATTATTTAGTTATATCGTAAACTTTTCATATCAATGATATTATAGTATCGTACCACTTCATTTCAAACCGTAAACTCTTATCAAAAAAGCCAGTTTTGATTAGTTATTCCCAACTTCTCGTAGTGTAGGTACTTTTCCCGTAATAAACAGTCATTGAAAATAATTGCGAACAACTTTGTACCTGAAAATCTAGTGTAAAGTGAACAATCGGTTTTGATTGTTTAGTCAGTTATATAGTATAGGTGTAGGTACAGTAAAATATTTAAACAAGATTGCTCGGGATGAAATCGATAATATAACGGTCCAAAGAATCTGAACAATAGGAAGTCGGCTTTATCCTCGACGAGAATACTATTATAGTGGTGACCATTTCAATTTGGTTCCTTTCACGCAACACTGAAGATATGATAGTAAAAAGTTTACGTTATTATATCTGGATTTTAGTTTACCGTAAAATTTGGAAAGAAATATAAACTGACGTGTATACATTAAACGGTGATAGTCATTTTATGTAGGCTTTAAAAAAACATATATATTATTACTTTTTATTAAAAAAAAAAAGTACAGTAAAAAAGTTGCGCTCAATAACTTGAAAAGGTTTAAATTGTTATGCGTACACACCTATAATACTGCTATACCTATGTTATGCATTACATTTATTTTATTTAAATAGGTTTTTAGGCTTCAAACCTTCGATTCTACACAGGACATTAGTCCACGGTGGTCTTAAATAAGGTGCATCGATGTTATAGTGATAAGTAAATAATTAACCAATGATATCAGCTGTCAATACATTAATTGTTTTTCTTTTCAATTCAATTTTGGCAATTTTTTTTACTTTATTTATATTGGCAAAGGATCACTAGAGAGTTTTTCAACGAGTGCATCCCATTCTAATAAGTAGAAATATTGTTATACTTGAGGTCGTGAGGGATAAATCAATTACCGATGTTTTTCCGTTATAAATAATTAAATCAACACACTTGTTATTCGGTAGAATTATTAGTTTCATCCGATATGTTTTTTTTTTTTTTTTAATTTTTTTTTTTATTAAAATATAATTACAATCTATACAAAATTTAGTACAATAAGTAATATTAATATAGTATTTACATAATATCGTGAATGACAGATGGGGGAGGGCACTCAGTAGTGCCACCCGACCAGATATGTTTTCGATCACATCTATTTTATTAATATATTATTAAAAAGATTTTATCCGTCGTACTATAATCACTGTATATAGTCAGTTCATTATCGGACAATGTATTAAAAATTGTCTTTTGTAGTCGTGAGTATTATAGCTTAGACGTTACCTCAAAAATAATTTTAAAATGTTAGGGGTTATGATAAATGTTGTGAACATTTTAACTTTAAACTCATATAAAAAATTAAAAAATAATCGCGCCTATGTAACTATAATATTTTTAAACTGCTATTAAAGAAATTTATGAGGAACCTTGCATTAAATTTTCCAGTTTTTTTTACTTAGTAAATAAGATTTTATCGACAGTAATTTCAAAAGAATTTATGAACTTCGGAAAAATGAGGAAATTAAATTTCTATCCATTTTAAGAAACTGGTCAGAACGCGAATGGATCCGACATAGGATATTATTATATTAATGCCTATATATATTTATATAAATAGCTTTTTAGGTTTCCAGCCTTCGATTCTACACGGGACATATACAGTGGTCTTAAATAAGGTGCATGTATATCATAATATAGTGATACGTAAATAATTAAATAATATGTAGGCACTGCGTAACCTAACCTTCATTTTTATAATAAATTATCACTATTATTATTATTATTGCAGCAATACTAGCTGAGTAGCGTGTACTGTGTTCTGTTCTGATGTACTTTTATTCAACATGTAATAAATAGTAACTTATAATAAATTTGTTTTAAATTATTCACCTATAAATAATATCTATTCTAAATTTGTTTTTCTTTTCAATTGAATATGACCTGAGAGTTTTTCAACAAGTAGGTACGTCACATTCTAATAAGTATAGATATATATTGCTATACTTGAGCTCGTGAGGGGTAAATCAATTGCCGATGTTTTGCCTTTATAAATAATGAAATCAATAGATAGACTAAAAGTCTAAACTTGTCATTCAGTAGAATTAATTTGTCATCATTCAACAGGTTTTCGATTACATCATTCTATTAATATATTATTAAATAGATTTTAGCCGTCGTACTATAATTACTGTAGACCAGTTCATTATCGGACAGTACATTAAGAATTATTATCTTGTGTATTTGTGTATTATAATTTATGGCTAAGATGTTTTTAACGCTCCATCTTATTACAATATTATTAGTCTGGTGTAATAATAAAACGATTATTTTTATAGTAATATTATTACGCTGCAGATCTTTCAAGTTATACGTCATTATTCTCTCGCCGTTTAACCAGTTTTCAACTATATCTATTAAGTTGAATGGCAAAACATTGCTCGTTTGAATATTTTTTTGACTCTTCGAATACTTTTTATATGACTCGTGATGTTTGTCTATCTGAGTCTATGGAATCTACAAAACAAAACTATTTAGTAATTAGTTATAGATCGTCGTGTAAGTTTATTTTTGTGATCGGATTTTTTAACTTATTATTTTTTTATTTAATATTGATTATTATAAAATCCATAAGTACTTCACATCGGTTGACCCTGTAAATAAACAATTTTATTCATAAAAATGAATAACTATTCCGGTAAAATCTTATTGAAAATAAAATAATTATAGATACACACCCACGTATAGGTGTCTACCAACTATACCTGGGTATTAAAATAACATTTGTCATTTGAAACGTATTTGTGGACTAGACTACGGCGGTGATTTTGCATATATTATAATCACTGGCAAAACCGGTAACCCCCTCCAAACTGCACGACAGCCATAAATGGACGATACACTCTAAGACAGCCTCCGGAAGGTTCACTTTGGTACATTACATCGAACTACTTAGGCGCCTATAAACTGCATGCCTACATAGCAGTGTTGATGTATGTCAGTGCCGTGCTTGTTGTAGTTCGCGCAAACCATCTCGGAAAATGTTCACCTCAAATTGGTGGATAAATGTCATCACGCCGTGTACGATAATAGTTACGGTCGCATATTATTTCTGCGTGTCGACCTTTAAGAAATGGGAAAAGCTCAACGTGCCCTACATCAAACCGGTCCCGTTGTTCGGAAACTTTTTGGATATAGCACTGGGCAAAGCCCACCCGTTGGAATTTTACGGCAAAATCTATGACGAGTTCGCCGGTCGCAAATATGGAGGGCTGTACCAGATGAGGACGCCTTATCTAATGGTTCGCGAACCTGAAATTATCAACGACATGTTGATAAAAGACTTCTCGTCTTTCCCCGACCGCGGTATTTACTCGGATTTCGTGGCGAACCCGTTGTCGAACGGTTTGTTCTTCATGGAAAATCCACAATGGAAAACAATAAGAAACAAATTGACGCCCGCTTTCACGTCCGGAAAACTCAAGACGATGTACGATCAGATCAAAGAGTGCGGCGATGAGTTGATGAAAACCATCGATATGGATCTGATTAAAAACGGCAACGAAATAGAAATAAGGGACATCATGGGAAAGTATTCGACCGACGTCATCGGCACTTGCGCTTTTGGGCTCAAGCTGAACGCCATCAACGATGACGAATCCCCATTTCGTAAATACGGAAAATCCATATTCACACCTTCGCTAAGGACGCTTTTCAGAGAACTGTGTTTGATGGTCACCCCTGCACTTTTGAAAGTCGTAAGAGTAAAGGATTTTCCGACTGACGCTACCGACTTTTTTCACGCGGTGTTTAAAGAAACGATAACGTATAGACTAGAAAATAAAATAGTCAGAAACGATTTTGTCCAATGTTTGATACAAGCTAGAAATGATTTAGTTTTGAATGCAGATTTACCAAAACATGGTAAAATATTTATTTTCATTAAACATTAATTATAAATTAAAAATACCGATTGTGTAGAATTTTAAAATTTTGTTTTAGAAAAATTTACAGAATCACAAATCGTAGCAAATGCTTTTGGAATGTTTGCTGCCGGTTTTGAAACTGTATCTTCTACCATAAGCTATTGTTTATATGAATTAGCGTTAAATAAATCTATTCAAGATAAACTACGCAAAGACATTCAACTAAAATTGTCCAAAAATGACGGACAAATTAACTCCGAGTTTCTGATGGATCTTAATTATTTGGATATGGTTATAGCAGGTAATTTCTTTTTATAATACTAATACATTGTGTTAATAGACTTTATTATCATCGATACTAGATAAATCAATAATAATTAGTAGAACGTTTTTTTAAAAATTTAATTGTAACTATTTATTAACAGTTTATTGAGACTTAGTCGAATATTTAGAACCATTACCTGTCCTGCGCCATAGTTCATTCTTATTATTTTTATTTTATTAAAACTAATATTGCCACTTGGTACCTATTATTTTGGTATATTTTATTATATTTATGAAAATGAAAATTGCAATATTTTTGATCAATTATCAAATTGATTGTATAAATCGTGTAAATAAATTTTTTTAAAAATGTGAAACTATTTTTTTAGTATAGATTTGATAATTAGTTAAAATTATACATAAATAAAACTACACAATACCAATATAACAATTGCATTTCAGAAACACTCCGTAAGTATCCTCCACTGGTTGCTTTGTTCAGAAAAGCATCACAAAAATATCGAGTACCCAATGATTCATTAATAATTGAAAAGGGTCAAAAAATAATAATTCCAATTTATGCATTGCATTATGATAGTAATTATTACCCGGAGCCTGAAAAGTTTAATCCTGAAAGATTTTCACCTGAAGAAAAAGCAAAGCGGCCAAATGGTATTTACCTACCATTTGGTGATGGACCTCGAATTTGTATAGGTAGGTATAATTTTTAAATTGAATATTATATACATAAATACATAATAAATGTTTATATTTTTAAAATTCTAGGAAAACGTTTCGCAGAGATGGAAATGAAATTGGCATTTGTGGAAATGTTAACCAAATTTGAAGTATTTCCATGTGACAAAACGGAAATTCCTCTAAAATATTCTAATAATGTTATAACATTGGTACCAAAACATGGAATTTGGCTAAGGTTTAAAAGAATTAATTGACAAAGGATTATATTAATATTATATCATTGAATAATAAAAAAACACTTAAGAATTCATTTAACCGTGAACCGAAGAAAGTTGAATGGTTTTTTATTTTATTTTTTGGGTTTAGATATTTAAACATCAATTTGTGGTTTAAATAAAAATATGTCATACCTAATATTAAATATAAAATATACCTAAAGAATTATTTTTATAATATTGTACAAAACACAACAGAATAAGAATCACTATTTTATAATTAAATTTCCAATTTCGCCAAGTATAAACTTGAAATGTGTATGAAAAAATTATGCATTTGTATTTTTTAATTTTTGGGTTTCTGCAAAAAGAAAATCTACATATTTTCACTAATTATCCTGAGCTGTACACCTATTAAGTTCAAACATGGAAATGGTAATAACCGGAATTTAAGTTCTCAGGTTCGTTTGAAATTAAAAATGTTATATAAAGAGTACTTGAAAGTTAACATATTTATATTATTGTGTGTTATAATAAATTAGTTTTTATTAATATTATATTATATTAATTAAATATAAAATCGAATTTACAAGTAAATAATAGTTGGGTATCATATTTATTTAAGCGTATATTGACGACGTTTTTAATTTAATTTTAGTATGCATATTTATCCAATTTATAGAATTACCGTATTTTAGCTTTAATTCAATCTTGTTTAGTTAAATTATAAAACATAATACAACAATATTTAACCTTTTTTCATTTCATTTAATGCGGATATTTGAACAGTAAAAACACCATAAATTTAAGGAAATCCCAATTTCAATGATAATATTTGTGTTTGGTTTATATAAATACCGAAACATTGATCGCCAAAAGCAAAAATGTGACAAATTTATATAGGATTTTAGAAAAAATTACATAAAAAAAAACGGGTTTTAACACGACATTTCTGTCTTAAGCCAAACTTTTGCAAATTATTACAGTATTGAGTATTGACTTTATTTATTATTATTTTATTCAAGTCAATTCGATGTAATTTGTTACTTTTTTACGAAATTCAAAACAATGCTAAAGCCAATATGTTGTTTCTGAAACATTTAAATTAATGTTATTGATTTTCACTGAGTATGGCTATATATATTCATAAGCGTTATGGCTAGTGGCTACACTATTTTACTAAAATGCTTGCACACAATATGTACTCTGATGGGCTTACCAATTGTTTAATATTTTATAGTAGGTACATATTATTATATTATTGTATGGTATACAACAAGAAATATAATAGCGTAATTTCAGTTTTTGTTATAGTAGGGCAACCACTGACTGATTTACCGACCAAAAAATTGTTTCAAGCAGATGTACATAGAATAGTGCCATAGTGTTGTAGGTAGGGGTTGGGGGGATAAATATTCAGGTATTTGAAGGTCACACACCAAATTTTAAAGTATTTAAATACAAATTATGAAAATAATTGTCTTGTCTGCGGGCCAGATAAAGTTCATCTACCACGAGTCTTTATACTAGTACTCGCCTACTTAGAGTACTATATTGCTATACATTTATAATACACTTCTATACGACTCTAACACCTACTTCTGCATTGCATATAGGTTTCAATTAACATAATGTCTTTATTTCGAACAGGTATACCTACTCAATTGATAACAATAACTAGACCTTAAACAAATGCACATCAATTATTTCTATGAATTGGCTTTCAGATAAAAAATTTAAAGTATACCTACCAAAAAATACTTTAAAGTTTAAATTATAATAATAATTATAGTATAGTTGTAACTTCTAACTTTCCTAGAATAAAATATTAAAGGTAGATAAAAAAGGCAACATATATGATAAAAACTCATAAGGTACAACAAACCAGGGTGTCCAAAGTTGGACAGCGAACTTAATGCGACTTTTTGCTGATTGCGGACTTGTGATGTCACATCACACATGGGCATAATATAAATGTTATAACGCAAATATAATATAAGCAGGTTATGTAATAATATTGTTATATGTGAATTTTAAAAATATTAAATATGAATTTTTTCCTCAACATAATTATGGATTTCAAAAATAAACTATAATTTACCTACTGTATACAATTCGGAACGAAATATTTTATGTACGTATGTGAGTAGTTTGCCTTGATGGAGTCAGTTATTGACGAGTAAAAAAAACTCATAAGGGAAAACAAACTGTATAATGTAAACGGATAAATCATTGCATACGAAAAAGATTCTGAGAGGAAACGTTGTGTCATCCTAGGCTCCTAGTATATACATAGGTACCTACTTGTATATAAGTAATCAAATTTAATAATTTTAAAAAAACCCAATAAAAATCAAAAATATCTCATGGCTATAAATAACGTAACTTTCCGTTAAACGAATTGTTTGCTGAAGGTAGAAAAACTTGCGGGGAATATTCTATTATAATTTCTAATGCTAACTATACAAAGAAACGGTAGGCGAAAAAAAAGCCCACGGAAAAAAAGCCCAAGGAAAAAAGCCCAAAAATATAAATATAAATGTGAACAAAATATAATAATATATTAATAATACATTACTATACTATAACAGATAATAATCATAAATAATTGTATAAGAGGCATATATAGGTAATTTTATAAAAGAAAATATTAAAATTTCAAATATGACTTATACATAATATATAACTATTGAAAATGTTTAATGTATTTTAATTTAAGAAATATTATTAAGGTATATTATTATATAGAGGGTTTGATACTGCCATGAACTGATGAACCACCTGTCAATAAATTGCATTTTTATTACCCAACTATTGATAAGCACTTTTACATTTAATTTAATTTATATTGTTCGGTACTTACCAATATAATTTATATATATAACCAGTCAAAATGTTAAAATTTATCAATAACTGGGTAATATTGACACTCCATATAGTACTCCATTACTTGGTTATTGAGATACTATCTACACGTCCTACTAGTACAGTTTTATCCAGTTATACATTTGTTATATATTTTATACTTTTGTTTTACCAATTTTTGTGAATATGGAGATTATCAAATCAAATAAAGGTGGTAACAAAGGTTTTTACAAAGGTTATGTATATGTTGTAAAGTATATAATTAACAATTAATTATTATTTTCATTATAATATATAATAATATATTATTATATTTTGTTCACATTTATATTTGTATTTCTGGGCTTTTTTTCCGTGGGCTTTTTTTCCGCGATTCAAAGAAACAACTTATGAATTTCTAACTGAAAAATAATTTGAAAATTGACGATGTTTTAATAAATGTTGTCAAAATGTTAACTTTAAATGCATATTATAAAAAATAATCCAGCCTATGTATATATTTAATATTTTTAAACTGACATAAAATCAATTTATGAGAAATCTTCCATTACATTTTCGAGTAGGTAATTTTACTAAATTAAAATGTTTTTATCGACAGTAGTTTTTAAAAAATTTACAAAATTCGAAAGAAATGTGGGGATAGAGATCCCCATCAGACGACTTTGCGAACATCACTGGCGTAGTAGTTACAGAATAATATAAAATATTACTATCCCATGTTCAAACAAATAATAAATTGCGTGCTTTCAGCTTTGCAATATCGTCTATAATTTATGAAGTTTATTTTTATCATTTTTTTTTTTTGCATATTAATAATCTGCAACGTAAATTAACATAATTGTTTTCTAGAATGTACAATTAATATAATCACTATAACAGGCATCACGACAAGCTGTTTCTATATCAATCTAAATTATACACTTATTATTTTGTTTCATCATGTGTAGGTACAGATTGCGGGACAAGTTCCGTACTGACAAATATCCGTGTCGGTTTCGTGAAAAGTTATCCACATTGTGTAAATACGCGATGTGTAAAAAATTATGTTAAATAAATTTTTTACATTGAAAAAAAATGTTCAGTCCCAAGAATAATGATAATATAGGTCTCGATTAGATATAACGTTTCTGCTCATATTATTCAATGAGTTATGATGAGGAATCGAAAATAGACGAGTGACGTCATTGAACCTTGCTCGAGGTAATAACTACCTGCAGTTTTATTGCCAGTCATAATATACTAATAAATGTTACTCGTTTCACACAATAATTTACCTACCTTTAAAGTATATTTTCTAATTTTCGTTGTACGTATGTGGTGTAATTTTATGTAATGAAAACATTAGTGGAACCCAAATTTTTCTAAAGTGTTTAGTCGTTCTTTAAATACTTACGATGCGTATTAATATAAATGGCAGACTGGCCCGTTGTAACCATAGATAAAGAAGTAACTACAATGTACGTGACGAAAATATCTTTTTTGGTATGTTTATTATTAAAACAAATACTAAGCGTTACATGGAAATTCTGATACTTCTATCGTCCTTAGCACAAAAAATCACATATTTCTACATAAATCAAACATTAAAAAAAAAAATAATGTGTAGGTTGGTATGTCATTGTGTAAAGCGAGCAACTTTAACACGCGTGTTTTAGGTGATTGAACCAAGCTCGGTCCAGTGACGTCATATTATGTCACGCTGTTGTTCTAGATACTCACATATCTCCTTAAATAATATTATTTTTTTTTTAAATGCATTTTGTTTCAGTTCTGACTAGTATCTGACTACAATGATTTATATTTTAATAATAATTTGAAGACAATTTCTTTTTGAGTGTGAAGATGCGTGTCATTTATTATTCGAGCTGGAGCCGTTTAACCAGTTTTCGATAAATAATTTGAATTGAACATTGTTAGTTTGAATATAAAGTGCATTTAGCAATAAAGGTAACAATAAATACCTATTTCGAACGAATGATTTAATATTACACCTATTGACTTTTTAGATTCTGAGTGAAACGATGAATGTATTGATTTTACAATGATGTGTGTTCTTTTTTTTATTTTTTTTTTTTTTGTGTCTGTGTACACGATAAGTAGTCGAAATAATAATGCTTCGATTTTCAACTTCAGTAGGTATCTTGTTCGATTGGAAAGTGAATATCGTTGGTGCATTGGGGAGGTCAAAATTTAAATTTCCCAGTAGTTTTCAAAAGCGCCGGGAAAAACAAAATAAAAATTAAGGAAAAACGGGAATTTTTACGCAAAATCGGTTTTCCAAAAAATCGATTTTGGTTTTTGGTGTAACTTTAAAACAAATAACCGTAGATACATGAAATTTTCAGTGGTTGTTTATATTTGCATTTTCTATACACGATAACATTTTCAAAATATTTTCATTTATTTTGAACTGTTTAGGGACATTTTCAGTTTCCAATTGTATTAGTTTTTTTTTTTATGAATATCAATAAAAATTTATTTGTTGAGTAAAATTACTTGAAAATTTAATACAAGGCTCCTACTGTATTGTTTCAAAGACAGATGAAAAATATTAAAAATCGTTAGTCACAGTTTTTTTTTTAAGCATTTAAAGTTCAAAAAATGACAAAATATGGAAAAATCACGAAAATTTGCAAATTATTTCTAGTTAGAAATTCCTAAAAATTTTTCTTTTTAAATCTAAGATATGAAAATGTAATACAAGATTCCTTATAAGATTTCCTACATTTATCAAAAAAAAAATTCTATAAGAAAGTCAAATTAAATTTTTATGAGGGTTTGAAATTCAAATTTTTACAACATTGGATATTCACTCGATTTCTCTTGTGGCGATTTCCTTATTTTGTTGTAATTCAAAAATGAATTACTGTAGATACATGAAATTTCATTGAATGTTTATATTAGCATTTCCTATACACTATACAATTTCGAAAATATTTTGACTCTTTTTGACTCTTTTTGAGCCGTTTACGGACATTTTTAGTTTTCAATTTTTTTAGTTTTTTTTTCTATAAATATTAATAAAGTTTTATCTTTTGGGCCAAAAAGTGTGAACAATTAATACAAGGCTCCTGATATATTGTTACAATAGCAATTGAAAATTTTAAAAATACATAGGCACAATTTTTTTTTATAAGCATTTAAAGATAGCATTTTGACAAAATTTATCAAAATCTCGAAAATTATCAACCATCGTAATTAATAAATTATAAAATGTTCAGTTTTTATAGCTAAGGATTGAAAATTTAAAAAAACGATTCTCATAAATATTTCATACTGTAGCCAAAAAATCTAAAAAATATATGAGCACAGTTATTTTTTACAGACATTTTAAGTTCAAATTTGGAACGAAATTACATATTAAAAAACCTAGCATACCTATTTTAGTTATTTTATTGGGAGTGTATAATACTATTCGTGGGTACTTGAAACTTCTAAAGTACACTATATTATATATCAATGATAGTATCAGGGTTTGTTATTAATGTATAACGTGTTATAAGTACCTAGTGGATATTGTGATATGATTAATTTGGAATTTATTATAGGTCAATTTTTTTTTTAATATCATAGATATGTATATAATATGTCTTAAACCTAGACTGACATACCGTCTTCGCTCAAAATCGTTTTTCTTATACAATGATATTGTATCATTGAATTCAAATTTAATACCATCCATTATACAGTGACCCACTTGTAACCTACTGTACAGCAGAGTGACATCCACTTACCCACCTTTTTTTAACATAAAGATATAAGATTTTATTGAACTCCCCATTATTAGTTTTAATTTGAATTCCATTAATTGTTTAAAGCAAAACTGACTGTTAGGTTTTTTATCTTAAAAGTTAATTGATTGAGAATGAGCCAAACGTTGATTTATGCATGTTGTATGAATAAATTATCATATTATTTTTTAACAATCTATCTACACTTCTACAGTGATCTGTGTGATTTCGAACTTTTTTTTTAAACACAGGAATGGTGTCGTAAGTAAACCATATTTACATTATTCTTCACCAAATCATTAATAGGCTGTAAAGAATTCTGATAAATATATACAACATGCATAAATCAAAACTTTGGCTCACCCTCAGTAAGACAGTTTTTAAGATAGAAAAAAAAGTTAAAAACTATAGGTATCTACGAACAATACTTAGGTGTTATAATAACCTCTTACACATTCATAGCTGTAATTTGGTACAGACAATAACGTATTATTGAAATCGTGAGTGAAACGGTAAACCCCCTCCAAGCAACAATATGACTACTCGAAGACAACCTTCGGTATATATGTTCCCTCCTTTAATCGTACTAACTACATTATAGTGCCTAAAACTACACACAGCAGTGTCGATTTATCTCTGTACCGTGCTTGTTGTACTCCTCTCAAACCATTGCAACCATGTTGACCGTCAATTGGTGGATAAATGTCATTACACCGTGTACGATTATAGTTACGATCGCCTATTATTTCTGCGTATCGACCTTTAAGAAATGGAAAAAGCTCAAAGTACCTTACATTAAGCCGATCCCGTTGTTTGGAAACTTTTTTAATGTAATTTTGGGAAAGGAACATCATTTGGAATTTTACGACAAAATCTATCACAAGTTCGCCGGTCATAAATATGCAGGAGTGTACCAGATGAGGACGCCTTATCTAATGATTATCGATCCAGAAATAATCAACGACGTGCTAATAAAAGACTTCTCGACTTTCCCCGACCGTGGTTTTCACTCGGATTTTAAGGCCAATCCGTTGTCGAACAACCTGTTCCTCATGGAAAATCCTCAATGGAAAATAATAAGAAACAAACTGACGCCCGCTTTCACGTCGGGAAAGCTCAAGGTAATGTACGATCAGATCAAAGAGTGCGGCGAAGAACTGATGAAAAACATCGATATCGATTTAAATAAAAACAACAACGAAATAGAAGTACGGGACATCATGGGAAAGTATTCGACCGACGTCATCGGCACTTGCGCTTTTGGGCTCAAGTTGAACTCTATAAACGATGACGAATCCCCATTTCGTAAATATGGCAAAACAATATTCGCACCTTCACTAAGAATGATCTTCAAAGAACTGTGTGTGATGATAAGCCCTGAGCTTTTGAAAGTCGTAAAAGTGAAAGATTTGCCAAAGGCCTCGAGTGACTTTTTTCACGCGGCTTTTAAAGAGACGATGACATATAGACTGGAAAATAAAATAGTCAGAAATGACTTCGTCCATTGTTTAATGCAAGCCAGAAATGATTTAGTTTTGAACACAGATTTACCTAAACATGGTGAATTATTTTTCATTTAAGGCACTAAAATTAAAAATAAACGATTGATTGTAATATAAATTTAAAAAAAATGTTTTAGAAAAATTTACCGAATCACAAATCGTAGCAAATGCTTTTGTAATGTTTGCGGCTGGTTTTGAAACTGTATCTACTACCGTGAGTTATTCTTTGTATGAATTAGCATTAAATAAATCTATTCAAGACAAAGTACGGGAAGAGATTCAACTAAAACTGTCGAAAAATGACGGACAAATTAATCATGAGTTTTTAATGGATCTTCATTACTTGGATATGATTATTGCAGGTAATTTTTTTTTATAATATTACTACCTATTCGACATTATTAAATAGTTTTAAAATTATTAATGAGATAGAATGTTTTTTATTTAATTGTAACTTCACTATCAGTTTATAACTATTTAATTTTATTAAAAAGAACCATTATTTCCCTCTTGAATTCTTGCTCATTAATCTTAGTTTTTTGATATATTTTTACTAAAACAAATATTCACACCAATCGGTACTATTTGTGAAATAATTAAATTTATTTTTATTTTTATGAAAATTGAAATTGGAATATTTTTGATTGATTAAGTAGGTGATTGGGTTATGACTATTTTAAAATAATGTAAGATTATTTTTTTCTCAGTATTAAATCGATAATAAATATAAATTAATCAAACAATTTTATTCAATCAAAATAATATAGTTATTACATTTTTTAGAAACACTCCGCAAGTATCCTCCACTGATTTTTTTGTCAAGAAAAGCATCACAAAAATATCGATTACCCAACGATTCATTAATAATTGAAAAGGGCCAAAAAATAATAATTCCAACTTATGCAATGCATCACGATAGTAAGTATTACCCGGAGCCTGAAAAGTTTATTCCTGAAAGATTTTCGGCTGAAGAAAAAGCAAAGCGGCCAAATGGTATTTATCTGCCATTTGGTGATGGACCTCGAATTTGTATAGGTAGGTATAATTTTTAAATGGAATATTATATACATAATAAATGTTTATATTTTTAAAATTCTAGGAAAACGTTTCGCAGAGATGGAAATGAAATTGGCATTTGTGGAAATGTTAACCAAATTTGAAGTATTTCCATGTGACAAAACGGAAATTCCTCTAAAATATTCTAAAAAGACTTTCACATTGATGCCAGAACACGGAATTTGGTTAACATTTAAAAGAATTAATTAATGAAAAATCAAATAAGAAAGAAAGATCATATAATAATATGGAATAAAAAAAACTATTGTTTTACTTTAACCATAAACTGGTGAATGTTATTTCTTATTTTTAAATATTTTTTAATTAGATCTTAAAATGTGTATGAAAAAAGTTATGCATTTGTAGCATTTGTATTTTTAATTTTTAGGTTTATGTAAAAAAAAATCTACTTATTATCCTTAATTATCCTGAGCTGTACACATATGAAGTTCAAACCTGTAAATTGCAATGACACACTTTAAGTTCACACCTAAAAATACATAATATCATATGAAATAAAAAACGATACACAAACAGCACTTAAAAGTAAATAATAGCTTTGTATTTTTGTGTGTCTTAATAAATTAGTTGTTATTAATATTATATTTTACTAGCTGATCCCTTGCACTTTGTTGCCTGTAACAAAAGGCAACTCTTAAAAAAATTATGATTGTTCAACTCCTTTGTGGTGTAACTCGTTGCAATAAGTGCAACTAATCCACCTTGGTATAAGCAATTTTCGAAAAATTGATTTAATGCAAGCTTGTACCCGATTTTAATAATGTACCTGAAAACTGAATAACCTGATCTTTCCGAATAACCAATGACAACCAATAATAAATAAATACTAATTTCTACTAATCATTTCTCCTATAACCAATATCAACTATTTATAAACAAAAATGTCCACCGTAAATCTCAAAATCCTCGATTGAACAGCTACAACCCTGGTGGTAGGAGGGTGAAAAATAAATTATGACCTATTCTCATGAATACCGAATATACAAAAGAATTAAAATCGGTCGAGCCGTTAAGGAGGAGTCCGTACACCAACACCGTGACACATGATTTTTATATGATATATTAGATTTTATTATATAAATAAAATCGAAGTCACAAGTAAATAATAGTGTTGGGTAGCATATTTATTTAAACGTATTGACGACATTTTTAATTTTGTTTTACTACTCGTATTTATCCAATTAATAGTAGTACTATATCGTATTTTAGCTTTAATTCGGTCTTGTTCGATTAAAGTATAAAACATAATACGACAATTTTGAACTTCTTTTTGTTTTATTTAAAGCGGATGTTTCAACCATAAAAACACCATGAGAAAAATAAATTTAGAGATATACCAATGATATTATTTCTATATTATGGTTTATGTAAATACCAAAACATTCCATTTTGATATAAGATTTTAGAAGAAATTTCATTTAAAAAATATGTTTGTAACACGACATTTTTCTTTTTAAGTCAGACTTTTGCAAACTATTACTGCATTTACATTATTTATTATTTTTTTATTCAGGTCAATAAAATGTAATTTGTTATTTGTTTATGTAGTTAATAAATTCTAAAGCCAATATGTTGTTTCCGAAACATTAAAATTAATAATAGCTTGTATTGATTTTCATTGAGTATCTACTCAATTATATTCATTTATATTTTAAACTCTTTTTTTTTTAAATGCTTGCAGACAGAATATACGCTGACCAATAGTTTAGTATTCTGTTGTATATAATGTTTATAATACATAGGAAATTAAAGTGAAAATCGAAAAATTAAATTAAAATTAGTAAAAATCTCATATAACTTACCATAAAAAAAATTTACTTAGAAACGAACGTCTTGTCTGCGGTCCAGATAAAGTTCATCCTACACCATAGTCTCCACCGTGTTTATACTCGTACACACCCACTCGAGTACCTACCTACTAAACATTGTTATATTACACTATTATACGGCTCTAACGCCTCTAACAACTACTATAGTTACTACTGCATACAGTTTACAACTAATATAATATCTATATTCTTAATATAGGTACTCAATTGATATCAATAACTCGACTTTAAACAAATCCACATAAATTTGTTCTATAAATAATTGCGGGCCTTCAGACAAAAAAAGAATTTGCTTACATTTTTATGTACATGTCGCATTGTCGCATCGATTTCGCTTTCTGACGACCCGCGTCTCGTGAAATGGGTAGAAATTTCATTTCACGGAACTTTGTTTTTTAGACGTCGTGCAATAATAATTACTCTATAATGTGGATAACTTTTCACGAAACGGCCAAGAATATTTAGTAGTACGAAACTTGTTCCGTAATCTATAAATATACACATGGCGAAGCATATATTACGTGTTTAGGCGTAACCAAATTGGCGGCGTGCGCAGTCTTTAATCGCAAATGAAGCAGATACAAAATGAGGCGACCAATTTTATTTTTTTTCATTCAGCCAGATTCATTTTTAAAGTTGTGAATTATATTATACAAATTATGTAATATGTATAGGCTGTAGGAATATTCTATTCAGATTTCTAATGATAGGTACAGCTAATGATAAACAGTTTTACGAATTTCTAACTGAAAAATAATTTCAAAATGTTCGGCGCTTTGATAATTGTTGTCAAAATGTGAGCTTTAAATACATATTACAAATAATCGTGACTATAAATCTTTAATATTTTTTAACTGATATCGAAGCAATAATTATGATAATATGCATAACATTTTCCAGCTTTTTTTATTAAATTAAAAACGATTTTATCAACAATAGGTTGACTAAATAGGTTTTTAGGCTTCCAGCCTTCGATTCTACACAGGACATTAGTCTACGGAGGTCTTAAATAAGGAGCACGGATATTATGGAGTGATACGTAATTAATTAACCAACGATATCTAATCAATACGTTTGTTTTTCTTTTCAATTTATTGGCCATTTTCGAATTTCATTTATACTGGCAAAGGATAATATTTGAGAGTTTTTCAACGAGTACGTCACCTTTCTATAATAAGTAGATAATATATTTCTATAATTGAGCTCGTGAGGGGTAAATAAATTGCCGATGTTTTGCCAGTTATAAATAACGAAATCAACAGCTAGACTAAAAGTCTAGACTTGTCATTCAGTAGCATTAATTTGTCATCATTCGACATGTTTTCGATTACATCTATTTTATTAATATATTATTCAATAGAATTTAGCCGTCGTACTAATCACTGTAGATAGTCAGTTCATTATTGGTCAGTACATTAAAAATTGCATTGTGTAGTTATGTACATAATGGCTAATCTAGTTATGATGTTTTTACCGTTCCACGTTATAGTATTAGTCTATATTTAGATCTGACTAAACCGATTATTTTTTCGATGATATTATTACGCTGTAGATATTTAGAGATGCACGTCATTCGTGATTCATCTCTTGGGATACCTAGCCGTTTTACCAGTTTTCGATTAATAATTTGTATTGAATATTGTTAATTCGAATATTATACAGTGTATTCAATAATGATAAAAGTATCACGAAATGGTTCAAACGCATGATTTTGAACTTCATTTGGGTTTTTTTTACTGCATAAAGGACTTAATAATATGAAGTAATATATTGTTAAACCTATTTTTTTTTGGAAATTATAATTTTTTTCTGAAATTTCCACCCATAAAAACAAAATTTTTTAATACAAATTGTAATTATTTTAATTGATGAAAGCATCTTTGACTTATATAGATTAACTATATTAAAAATTGACTTACTGAGAGTGAGCTAGATTTTTCGTGTACCTATACATGTTGTATTCATCATGTTTTTTAACAGTCTACCTACTATTCTACAAAGTTTCGTGTGAATTCGTATACCTATGTGTTGTTTTTTAAACCCAGGTGTGGTGTCATAAATAAAGCACATTTACACTATTTTCACCAAATAATTAATAGAATGCTAAAAAATATAACAAGTATAACATTCATAAATCAAAATTTTTGCTCACTTTTGTAAGTCAATTCTTAAGTACAAAAAAAATTAAAATCAAAGTTTCTTAAAAAAAATAAAGTAATTAAAATTTTAAATCAAAGAGGGTGATTAAAACTCTAAACTATAGACTATAGTTACAACTTATACGTCTCGAGTGTTAAAATAACCTTTCACATAATACTATGTTTATGGACTGGACTACATCGGTAATTTGGTACTGACGTCAGATAATAACATATAATCGTGAGAGCGAAACCGGAAATCCCCTCCGAACACGATAGTTATAATAACAATGTATCTATACTCGAAGACAGCTTCGGTATATATGTTCTCTCCTCGTAGGTACTACATTAGTGCCGAAAATCTACGTATAGCAGTGTCGATTTACCTCTGTACCGTGCTTGTTGTATACACCGCGCAAACAATCTCGAACCATGTCCTCCGACAATTGGTGGATATATGTCATCACGCCGTGTACGATAATAGTTGCGATTGTCTATTATTTCTGCGTGTCGACCTTTAAGAAATGGGAAAGTCTCAACGTGCCGTACATCCAACCGATCCCGTTGTTTGGAAACTTTTTGAATGTAGCTTTGGGAAAGGAACATCATATTGATTTTTACAACAAATTCTATCACAAGTTCGCCGGTCACAAATATGTGGGAGTGTTCCAGATGAGGTTACCTATGTTAATGATACTCGAACCAGAAATAATCAACGACGTGCTGATAAAAGACTTCTCGTCTTTCCCGAACCGTGGTTTTCACTCAGATTTTAAGGCCAATCCGCTGTCGAACAACCTGTTCTTCATGGAAAATCCCCAATGGAAAACGATAAGAAACAAATTGACGCCCGCTTTCACGTCGGGAAAGCTCAAGGTAATGTACGATCAGATCAAAGAGTGCGGCGAAGAATTGATGAAAAACATCGATATCGATTTAAAGAGAAACGGCGACGAAATAGAAGTAAGGGACATCATGGGAAAGTATTCGACCGACGTCATCGGCACTTGCGCTTTTGGGCTCAAGTTGGATGCCATAAACGACGATGAATCCCCATTTCGTAAACACGGCAAATCCATATTCGCACCATCGCTAAGGCAGCTTTTCAGAGAGTTGTGCGTGTTGATTAGTCCTGCACTCGTTAAAGTCGTAAGAGTGAAAGATTTTCCGAAGGACGCGACTGACTTTTTCCACGCGGCGTTTAAAGAAACGATGACGTATAGACGTGAAAATAAAATAGTCAGAAATGACTTAGTTCATTGTTTAATGCAAGCCAGAAATGATTTAGTTTTGAATGCAGATTTACCTAAAGATGGTGAGATATTTTTCAATTAAGTTATTAAAATTAAATAAAACCGATTGATTGTAATATGAAATTAAAAAATTTGTTTTAGAAAAATTTACTGAATCACAAATCGTAGCAAATGCTTTTATAATGTTTGCTGCCGGTTTTGAAACTGTTTCCTCGGCTATAAGTTATTGTTTGTACGAATTGGCATTAAATAAATCTATTCAAGACAAAGTACGCGAAGAGATTCAACTAAAACTGTCAAAAAATGACGGACAAATTAATCATGAATTTTTGATGGAACTTCATTACTTGGATATGGTTTTTGCAGGTAATTTTTTTATAATACCATCTATTTCATAATATTTAAAAGTTTTAAACAAATTAATGAGATAAAATGTTTTTATGTAATTGTAAATTTCGGGTTATAACCATTAAATTCACTGCTTATTAACACTTAGTGAAAAGTTTAGAATCATTATTTCCCTCTACAGTTCTTGCTCATTAATCTTATTATTTTGATATTTTATTTAAACAATTAATATTCCCACTAATTGGTAATATTTGTGGAACAATCAAATTTATCAAATTTAACTTCGACATATTTTATTATTTTTATGAAAATTGAAGTCACAATATTTTTGATCGATTAAGCAAATAATTGAGTTAATAATATTTTCAAATAATTAATTTATAAGAAATAAAAATAAACAAAACAATTTAATCAAAATAATATAATTATTATATTTTTTAGAAACGCTCCGCAAGTACCCTCCGCTGGTTTTTTTGTTGAGAAAAGCAACACAAACATATAGATTACCCAACGATTCATTAACAATTGAAAAGGACCAAAAAATAATAATTCCAGTTTATGCGATTCATCACGATAGTAAATATTACCCGGAGCCTGAAAAGTTTATTCCTGAAAGATTTTCCACTGAAGAAAAAGCTAAACGGCCAAATGGTACTTATCTACCATTTGGTGATGGACCTCGAATTTGTATAGGTAAGTTGGTATATTTTTATATTTAAAATTGAAATGCAAGAAATTTTTATATTTTTAAATTTCTAGGAAAACGTTTTGCAGAGGTAGAAATGAAATTGGCTTTGGTTGAAATTCTAACCAAATTTGAAGTATTTCCATGCAAAAAAACAGAAGTTCCTCTAGAATATTCTCAAAAAACCATCACATTGATGCCAAAGCACGGGATTTTTCTAACATTTAAAAGAATTAGTTAATTATCTGGATAATGTTGAATGGTAATGGTTGTTTATTTTATTTTTTTTTTTTTTTAGATATTTTTAACATCACTCCGTGGCTTATATTAGATAATAGGATTTCAAATAAAATTATAAAACATAATGAATCATTTTTATAACATTGTATTAAACATAACACAATAAAAAATTGCTTTTTTCCATTTAAATATCCAATTTTTAACTTGGAATGTGTATAAAAAAAAATGGTGTGGTTAATATTTTTAATTGTTAGATTTTTGAAAGAAAAAATATGATAAACCTTTTTTTTAAATGTCAATTGTATATATTTTTAACTAGGTAGAAAATAAAAGATAATTGAGCGTATGTATTGTCTATATTTTAACAAGGATTAAAATTTACAAGTGATTTACCTAGTAATTAAATATTAATACTTCAACTATAACAATATATCTATTGTACATAATCAAACGTCCAAAATCTTTAAATTTTATGTTTATTTCTTATACATTATATTTCATATTATATATGGAAACGGTCGATATTTGTATAAATATCATGAAGTTCCATTGAAATATCATGTTCCTGAAGTTTACAGATTGAAAATTGTACTCACGGAATAATCAAAATTGTTTAAGTGAAAATAAATTAAATCAAACTTTTTATTCAAATGCACATACATATATATATTAATAAATATTATTAAGTCTACTGTTATTTATTACTTTGAAGTCACCCTGAAGCTGTTAAAATAAAAAAAAAATATATATATAGTATCAAGTTTCTAATACTACCCCTACTTAATATAGCTTTTGATAAAACTTTTTTGCGGGGTAAAAGTTTTTGAAACATCGGAATGCGAGAAGCAATATAAGATCAATATTTAAGTATATATTTTGAATATTTTATATCATTGATAAAATAAAAAAAAAAATTATAATTTAATCTTTTTATTTTGTTCCGTTACCTACCCATCCAAATCATATATTTATTATATTAAATCGATTCGTGGTCGACAAAGGATTTAACCGGCCATTGTATACAGCTAAGCATATACCGGCTGACTACGTACATATTATTATTATAATTATCTACAAATTAGTTTCTTCCGCTTCCGTAATATTTCTACAGATAAGAATTCAAACGTCGTTTTTCCATTGATGGAGCTACGCGGCTGCTTTCATATTTTTTCTTTGAACAAACACGTAAAGTTATTTCACTAACGGTTTTGGAAATAAATGAGGCTATGGTGGTATAAATCTCAAAACGGATCCTTTCGGGACACTATTATGCAAACATTTTAAATATATATAGTTGACACGTTCGCCAGTCGAACGACGACGACGATGATAAATAAATCGTGATACAGTCACTCATATATAATAAATGTGAAACCGTTCGTTAAACATCGGTCGAGAGAATGGCAAACCGACGAAAGCTACCGTTACTGCGCACTATGTGGTGTACTATATTGCATTCTAAATTGGCCCAATAAAACGTTACGGTAACTTCCAAGTAATGCATACCACAAAAGTTTTCTTTTGAACTTTATCCGTTAGCCGGGTAAGTAAACGTTTTATTGTTAGCTCGATGTTTACTAACGAATGGACCATGGCCAAAATAAACAACACTCTTTTAAAAGCTATTTACGCGAACATTTGTCACAGACGTTCAAATCTAAATCAGCTGTTTAAGCATACATAGCTGGTCCGAATCGCCTAGAAACGCAGTAGATTCGACAACCTTCTCCAACAAGTGAGCCACATTAAAAATGTCAAGTATCTTCAGGTGGTCGACTACTATTTGTTTCGGTGTATTAATATATTATATTATTTATATTATTACACGCAGCACGGTAATAAATCGTATAATAATATTCGTCATTCATGAATTCTCCATCGAAATTCGGAAAATTGTAAATTTTTCTTCGCTACTAAAAGTGTGTTCAAGTCTTAAGCTTTAACATTACATACGTTATCAACAGGTGTTGGAATAATTAATTTGTAATAACTAATAAGATCGATCGATATTCCTCTAAAGATCGACTGGTTCTCCTGGCCTAGAATATACCTAATGTATATCCAAATTACAACGAACATTATTTAATATTATTTACAGTTGTATTTGACTAGAGACAAGGATAATTGGTACAATATTAGCCACAAGACAACATTATGTAGACAATTATTTTTAAGACTAATAACATAATATATTTTAAGAACGACATTTGACATGAAGTATTCAATAGTTCAATTCCTTAAGCTTTTAAGTCAAATAAGAATTATAAAATAAGCTTATCTTTGGCAATGTCTAATCAAATATTTTTGTTATTTTCCAACTCGGCAAACGTATTATAATATAATCACCTAATAATAGTTAATTATTGTTGGTGGAATGTTACCATGAAATCCCACTGAAACCGAATAATTTAGAGGTCAGTTTTTATTGATAACCATACACGCGTTTGTATTAGTTATCCATAGTCATCGTAGCAATCAAATATTTCTGTTCGTGTAAATTTTAACAACATGCATCCATAAATTGTGTTGCGATTTGAGAGTTTTAATTACACCCTGTGTCCTATTGAGATTTAAAACATCCATCGGTCCTTGGCTTTAGGCCATCGGATCGGCCGGCCAGACTGATAAGCCAAAAATTCAGTTCATTTGTTGTACGCCTGATGCCTAACAACGCAACTCAATGTACACGGTATACTTATAATTTATAATATAGCACGTCGAAGCAAAATTCGACAAATTCCACGAATTTATACGTAATTTTTTACACGCGATTTAGATCGAAATTAACCTAGGTATTATATAATTACATAATATAGGAACGTAAACGTGACGTGTCTAATAACAATATTTGGTTAAAAATATAAAATGTTAATTTGATTATTCCGCATCAGCCGATAGGTTTGTAGGTATAACGTACTACATCGAATACAACTTAAAATACAATTTACTGTAGTCGTGTCGTATGCCAGCAGCTGTTAAGCAATCAGTTAAACGATTTGGAAATCGGAAATAAAGTATGCCCGCGGAGTATATATTAGTCGTGGCAGGGCAATCGAACGGTGACCTAGATGCTTTGGTTCAATTAAAGGCCCTGAAGTGTATTTTCCAACCTTTATCTGAGAAGTTTACAAAGGGGATAATAGTCATCGTATATAGGTATAGCTAACTAAACAAAAACAAACAGAGACTATTTCATCTGAATTTTTTGTATAAATATATAAATAACTTGAATACACATTAGTTGTTAGCTCGCGTTTAAATGCATGGGTACCCTATGAAACAAAATATTTAAATTATACCTATCTAGCTGAAGTTGAGAAATAACGAAATTTGTTAAAAAAAACTTTCGCGGAAATCCTCATTACATAATTTTACTTGCTTAATAAGGGATAAAAAGTTTAATAGGACAGTCTTAGATACGCATCTGTGCAGTAAAATTACGTGTTGGCGCATTATTAACATAATTTTGTATTCGGGTCTAATGGTTATTCAAGAATATAATGTAGCCAAATAAACACTAATCTTTAAGGTAAACACGTAACACGTTTATCGGCGTGCAACGCTCTAATGAATGAGAATTATCTAGAATTACCTAGCTTGAACTTTTCTTTTGCTTAAACACCTACTCATAGAAGTGTTATAGGTAAAGTGTAATACATGCGAACAGTGCAAAACGAATGTCACAGGAGGATGAACTTAATGGGTGTGATGTTAATTCAGAGGACAATATATTTTAAACGATATTTCCTTTGTGATTAAACGCATTAATTGTATCTATTAAAACACACGCAGCAAGTACAATTTACAATATTATTGTGTTTGTTGGCAAATGCTTACAAATCGTCCACAGCCCTATTAATTATTTGTTTTGATTCAAATTTCTGTTAAATTAAAATCGAAATAAATCCGATTTACTACCTAGTGAGGATTTACGGTCATTAATTATTATTAGAATTTGATCGATTTGTGCGGGGAACGCATTCCATTTACGATGTTTAATTACTTCCTAATGAGATTATTTTGCTATTCTGAGATATTCAATATGTGTTTTAAATGTTTAAGTCTAAGGTTTATGTACAGTAATATGTCTTACGATATTTTAGTTGATTTGAGATTCGAGTGTAATAAAAATTGTTTTGTATAATATGGAAAAAAAAAGCCTAAAACCATATAGCATGTAATTATTCCGATAAAAACACTGAACACATAGATAACTATAGTGAAATAAATTGTTTTCTTTTAGAGAGTTTAAATGCTAATAATTGTTTTCATAATTTTACTTAAATTTTTTTTTATTATTAAACAGGTTTATAAATAATATATAAATTGGTATTTTATTATTGAAATGTTGGTAATTGATAATATTATAACATTTAGATAATAAAAATCCAATTACAGTAATTTAAAATGAAGACGTAAAAGAAAATATTCATGCCAAAATTATTAGATTTCAGAAGTTATGATATCTATAACTGTACACAGATTAAACTACAAAACATGAGTGAATTAAGATTGAAGAAATTATCAGATTTATCTCAAAATTTGCCAAATTATCAGTAGTGTACAAGATGTCAGAAGATTGATACATAGAGAAAATAAATTAATATAATATATGGGTTTACAATTTATTATAATACCCTCTTTGAAAACGTTTTAACGAAAGCCAAATCAATGTAATCTGCTTGACCTCAAATGATTACATTAGGGAAAAATAAAAATCTTAGGTAAAAAAAAAAAAACATTCCTATTTATTGTAAAAAATCAAATCCTAGTTTATAATAGTTTTTCTATTATTTACTTCCATGAGAAAATACTAGAGGCAAAAAAATATAGGGATGTAGCTCTGACGCACAATAACAACGAACACAAGTTTTTGCTCAAATATAAAAGTAAAAAAATAAATAACTTGTGTACTTGTTTGTACATTTTTAACAACATACAAATAATATATTATATGTATAATATTATATATTATTATCTGTGTAATATGTAAAACGAAATAAGTAATAACGATAATAATAATAATTGTCAACAGAAATAATATATATTCTATATTGTCACTTACATATATTACTCTCCTTAGAGACGTAGTCGTAGTGCTTTGTCGAAAAATAATAACAACTACAACAATATTTACATACAATTAATGCGTGTGTCTTTTTTGATGAATTGTGAATTTTTTATTTTTTGTATTTCTATCGTTTTATTTCGGTAGTTCTCTGAAAGTGTTTAACGGATAGGTGGTAAAGGTAGATCATAATATTGAGAATTCCCCCTCGAACCATTTCCATTGGTATATTAATGCAGTATTTCACTCCTGCGAATTGTAATAAACTTCTGCGCTGATCGTTATAAATTTTGAATAAAAGTCATGCTAAGAAAATTGTTGAGGATTTCTTCTACTTTGGTGAATTATTATTTCATTTCCAGAAATATCTCAAACCAATGCGGTAATATACAATATAGAAAAACCAATAATATTTAAATTTTCAGAAAATGTACAAACTGATCAGTATATTATAACGATTAACGAATTCGTTTTATAAAATAATCATGAAGGAATGAAAACTCTTAATTATTTGTTTAATAAATAAAAATAAAGTTCAGATTTATATATTTTTACATAATAATATTATAATATTATTTACAGACTCTATAAAACTCAAAGAATAAAAAAACCATATAACAAAATATAAAATATGATAAATGCAAAATAAATGTCTAAAAAATTCAAGTATTCTGAACACTGACTGTATACAACAAAAAACTTTAGACTAAGATAAGCGTCAATAAATTATTAAATAGTGTGTGATTTATAAAGTCAAATGAAAATTTATAATATTTCAAAACGTATTTTTACTGAGTCTATGATTTATTTTATTCACGACTTCCTATCTTGAATAATATGTATGATAAATTAACATAAATAGTCGAATAGATTATGCCTGCAGAGCTTGTAGAAAACATAAAATTCGGCATTTGTAATATTATATTCTAAATAAACAGAATATTTCAACATACAGCGAACAGGTGGGTCAACATTATCAATTTAGTAGGTAGTAATTGTATTTTGCAATACCTAGGTAATTGGAGGATAACAAACACCTAGGTACTAAGGTACGCATTATTTATTTAATTCTGTTTTAAAATAATATTCTCGACTAATTGGGATTTTAATAACATGTACCATTAAATATTTTTAAGAGAGGGATTGTTTTAACGTAAATCATTTCTCATTTGATATGCTATTAACGTTTTTGAAAATATGTTTTTAAACAATTGTTTACTTTAATATTCAATTTAAATACTTATAAAGTTATAACTAATAAAAAATATGTTCAAAGTTAAATACATTTTATATATATTAAAATATTCGGAAAAAAATATTCTGCTTCAAAGTAGCAAACTAAAAATGTATAATTTTGTTCAACAACAAAAAAAATTAAAAAACTATTAGGTACGAAAAAAAATAATAAGCGATATATTTTTTTTTGTTTAGTTGTGGGTAGGTAATGAATTTAAATTATGTAAAAAAAAAGTATTTTGTGAGAAGAATCGGTTTTTTAATTAATGAGTGTATTACGATAAAATAATCACTCAGTAGGTAATACTATTCTGCATACTCAATGAAATAAATTAACACATTGAGCAATACTCAGGTCTTAGAATAACACGATACAACACGTAATGGAAGTTTGGTTAAAAATGAACTCATTCATAAAATAAAAGTAGTGAAAATTTACCTTTGGGAAAACGACTGAGAACTTTATTATTAAACAAATTATTTCTAACGATGAACTATTAAGCTCGACGCAGAGTAAAAGTGACTATAGTCTGTAACAGAGGAGAGTGGTAGAAAATATAATATAATAATATACAATAAACCTAATGCAGTGGAACTTCAGGGTATCTGGAAGTATCAAGGGACCAGAAAAAACAAATTTGACATATCGAAACTTCGAGTTACCGCTTGATAATTTAAAAAAATATGATAATGAATGATCGGGACTGAAAAGCAATTTTGATGTACAGAAACTTCGAGATACTGGAGTTCGAGATACCGTCGCATTCCACTGAATATTATGCCTCGGTTTGATGCATTGGTCTCAAAAAAGTCTATAGTATGTTATTGTACAACTCGAATCGAGTTTAATGAAAAAAAAAAAAAAAGCTGCATCCACAATCTTATTACTGAAAATATTCTAATCCGGTTGTGGTTGTTGTTTCACATTTGAAATCTCGTTGATTCTTTTAGAGTTGTGATACACGGAATATGATCGTACAAGTAGGTATATTTTGAACTGTATGATAGCCGTAAACCCGAGTAATTAATATCCGCAAAATGGTAGTATAAAAAAAACATGTTATAATAATAATATGCGGCACTGTATTACACAATGTTACAAAGGCTTGAACAAAATATCGTAGACGTACCGTGTATGGTAGGTTTTTGTTGTTATTGAAATCTATTGTTTGAACGCCGACGGTATAAAACATAATACGTACGCGGTTGTCACGAGTATAACGTAATATAATAACATTATAGTATAGGTACCTATCGACAAAGGTTCAAGTATAATATTATTGTACCTTAGCTTGTAGATTTTTGAATATCTAATTTTTTAAGGAGGGCTCTGATAGACTCGTCCCAGTACAATTTTCTAAATCAATTAACATAATATTTTGTCGTGATTCACATATTTAATGTACATTATACAGTTATTCATAGGCATAAGAATAGTTTTGGTTTGTATATCTTAGGCAAAACAATGAGTTTACAGCTCTAGACGTAAAAATTAAGTCCAACAACATTATGTTGGTCAACAACTTTATTTTATGATACATATTTTCGATAAGTGAATTAATTTCAAAGAATGAAGATACGTCCTTACGAAAACGCACATTTCTACAATTTCTGGTAAAAAATTCACTTTTTCTCAGACTTGTTCCTGAGAAGATTGTAAGAGGGCACCCATTCACGTCCCTATAACCATATTAAATAGACCTTGTAATATTTTCAATATTAAATCAAAATAATTGAATAAAAACTTGATATCGTTAGCATGACACGTGACATGCTGTATAATTGCATATCCTTTAAGTAGTTTATGTGGTTTAGAGTAATCTGTTCAAACAAAGTTTTGAAGTCTACAACAGTTTTGAAAAAAAAAAAAAAAACTACTATAAATTCTTAAATAATTACGTTTTCCAGCGGTCGCGTTATTATTATTATATTATATTAAATTAAAAGTACACATTTTCGTGGATCTTACACTGAACTGAACTGGCGGTGGCCTAGATATAAGAAACGAAACAAGCCACTAGTTCGCAGGTGCGTGGTGTATGTACGCTAATATTTGTATGCGAATGACAGAAATAATATTTACTATAATATTGGTATTATTATTATTGTTGTAAGCGCCGTGTGCGTCGGTGGTTAGGCTCTCAGTGTGCATTACACCAGTGTAAGGACGAGATGGTGTGGAGAGGGGGCCACACCAGTTGCGAGAGCAATTCATTAATTCACTTTTCACCTACCGACCACCCTCCAGAGCCACCGCCAGCGTTATTCTAAGCTTAGGACGACGACACCGTCGATCCCTCCCGCTCGCTCGGCCGATCACCACCCTCCACCGCTGATCACTGCAGCCCTCCTCCGTCGTCGATTACTACCCTTTCACCCAGCCCATCCCTCTACCGCCGCCCTACTACACCCGTCGCCCATCCAAAACGCATAACCCACTCACCCGCCGGCGACTCGCGTCTGCCCGCTTTCGGGACACCGTTCCCGCCCATCTCGTTCGCAGCCCGCGTGAGAATATTAATGATCTAAAAATGTCACTTTGTGTGTGCGTGTGACAGGTACGTCGCTCATCTGTGGAGGCGAGGCAAGCGGAAACTGATCAAAAAGTATCGGGTTTGGATGCTGCGACGGCAGACCGAAAGGGAGGAGAAGGCGCAGCGGCAGAGCGCCACCACCGTCGCGCTCCTATCGCTCAACACTAATAACAACGACAAAAACGGTAAGGGAAAAAAGAAGACACGACGTCGTCTCTGGCCATATGAACGATAACAACAATAATAATATAAATAGTAGCACGTATATACACGGGTAGTGGTTACCCGTGATATACCAATGGTGATAACAACGGCGGGGCGATAATGGACGAGCAAAGTCGACGAGCCTTCATAAATTCGTATCTGCCCGCGAGCAGCAGCTCTATCAGTTCCCGTCGTAATCACATTTCACCGTCGATATTTCGTCAGTCTCATAAGTTTATGACCGATCACCGTAATATTATAAAATTATCACCTTCGTAATATTATATCGAAACAATTACACTCACTATCGGCATAATAAATATTATCATCTCGTAAAAAATTACGCTAGCAAATAATAATAACAATAATAATAATTTGAATAAGGGTTGTTTTTAACATTTTTTTCAAAATCTAATCCCATTCATTCTTTTTTTTGTGTTTCTCTTGTTTCAACAATATAGTTTTTTGTTGGCTACAAAATATTCCAAAAGGTGTATTTTTTTTCTTCTATAAATTCTGATCAGCAGACAATACGTACGATACGCCGTTGTACCGCAGTGCCTCCGGAAAAAAATGTAAAAGTGTTTTCACGTAATTGAATTTCAAAAGAAATATACGATAAACACGGAGAGCTGGCCGCCACCGTATTTCCCTAAAATAATACGAAATTCAATTGATTTTTCCTAATAGTTTCCTTATGTTTCCGAGTTAATTAAATCATGTCCATATTATATTAGACATGGATAACATAAAATAAAACCAATTATACAAATTTTAGCCTTGGTACAACACTGTTCAATATTATAAACATTTCATTTACACTTAAACCAGAATATAATATAAGGTGAGATAACAATAGAGATCAGATTGTTATAAGAAATTATATCATATAATATTAAAGACTGTGTTAAATAAAAATAAATTCGTTTGTTAAAAGTAAAAAAGGGTCTATTTTTTTATCGGATAATCTAACTATGCCGTTCTAAATTTATAAACATTTTTGTGTAGGTACCGATAAAATTATTCAAGTAAAAATGAAATAAATGAAAACTCAGAAGAAAAAGACACTTCAACTGTCTAGAATTAAATAATAGAATATACTTCCAAAAATGCACATCATCTTACTTATAAATACGTAGCTACAATAAGTTCATTTTAAAAAAAATGTGCTCTGCTGTACAGTAGGTTACAAGTGGGTCACTGTATAATGGATGGTATTAATTTTGAATTCAATGACACAATATCATTGAATAAGCAAAAAGATTCTGAGCGAAAACGGTTAGTCAGGGTATGATATTACGAAGTATATTTGATAAATTTATATAGGTATAATCTATTTACGTGGAATTTTGTTTTAAATTTTCAATGCTTAGCTATAAAAGTTGAACATTTTACAAATTTTTAACTACAAAATTATTATTAAATTTTAAATTTTATAAATTTTGTCAACATTTGATCTTTAAATGCTTATAAAAAAAAATTGTGCTTATGTATTTTTAATATATTTCAACTGCTATTGTAACAATATATTAGGAGCTTTGCATAAAATTTTCACTCTTTTTTACCCAACAAATAAAATTTTATTGATATTTATAGAAAAAAAAACTAAAAAAATTGAAAACTGAAAATGTCCGTTAAGAGCTCAAAAAGAGTCAAAATATTTTCAAAATTGTATGGTGTATAGGAAATGCTAATATAAATATTCAGTGAAATTTTCATGTATCTACAGTTATTCGTTTTTGAATTACAACAAAATAAGGAAATCGCTACATGAGAAATCGAGTGAATATCCAATGTTGTAAACATTTGGATTTCAAACGCTCATAAAAATTTAATTTGACTTTCTTATAGACATTTTTTTTTTGATAACCGTAGATAATCTTATAAGGAATCTTGTATTACATTTTAAAACCTTAGATTTAAAAAGAAACATTTTTACGAATTCTTAACTCAAAATAATTTTTCTAATTTTCGTGATTTTTCCATATTTTGTCAATTTTTGAACTTTAAATGCTTATAAAAAAAATGTGACTAAGGATTTTTAATATCTTTCATCTGCCATTTAAACAATATACTAGGAGCCTTCTATTAAATTTTTAAGCTTTTCTAACCAACAAAAAAATGTTATTGATATTTTTAGAAAAAAACTAATAACAAATGGAAAATGAAAATATTCCTAAACAGTTCAAAACAAATCATAATATTTTGAAAAATTATTTTGTATATAAAATGCAAATATAAACAACCAGTGAGAATTTCATGTATATACGTTCATTTGGTTTAGAGTTACACAAAAAACCAAAATCGATTTTGTGGAAACCCGATTTTGGGTACAAATTCCCGTTTTTTCTTAAATTTTCTTTTGTTTTTCACGGCATTTTTGACGACTACTAGGCAATTTTTACTTTTGACCCCCCAAAGTACCAACTAGATTCACTTCCTATCAGAAATTATACTGTTGAAGAAAATCTAAGCATTTTTACTGTCCTAAAAGGTGAGGACAGACACAAAAAAAAAATAATAATTAAAAAAAATACACACATCATTGTAAAATCAATACATTCATCGTTCCACTCAGAATATAATAATAATATAATATTATTGTAGAACGTTAAAAACAAAAATTGAACTGTGGCATTACAAAATATAAAATATCATTTTTATCATTTTTCGGACGGAATAGTATTGTTTTAGAGTTCCTTAATCTCCTTTCATAAATATTACTCTCGTGTTTAAATGTTTTTGTATGCTACAGCACATGCTCGGAGAATACTTCGATATTAAAAAAAGAAACATTATTATAGGTACCGTATAGAATGATCAAACTTTTAGCCAGACTTAAATGAGGAAAACGTTATAAATAAAGTTGTTCCATACGAACGTTGATTAATATACGAAAGTTTCACACCCGACCAATTTGTCTCTTGAGACCCAAAAACGTTACTCAGAAACTGACAAACTTATGTGAAACCAAAAAAAAAAAAAAAAACAAGGTTTAATAATAAATCAATTTTAAGTTTTTTTTTTTTCCAAGCACTATCGGACAATATTAATAGAAGCATAAAAACAGTTAATTTTGTAGAAACAAACGACAATAAGTACGGAAATGGAGCAAGAAACGGTGATGAAGAATCGTCTCAGCCGATGCTCCGGTTTATGGATAACGCTCAAATCGATTCGGTAAGTAATGAAACGTAATTATAATGTATAATAAACTTACTGCTATATATTATTAACTATTAAATATTTTTAATTGCATCCTTTTTTTTTTTTTTATAATAACAATAATAAATATTATTATTACTTTTATCTTTTATCGTATCACTATCATATTTTTATGGGCGCCTCGGAGTTAATTATTACGGCGCATTAAACGTTAGGTACCCGCTGAAATATAACAAATAATAATTAAATACCAATAATATTTAATAATCTATGATATTATTATTATTATTTACGACGCGAACGCTCGGAACTCTCTATTTTAGGCATCGATCTACTCGTTGAACTCGTACAAATAATTTGAAATTTATTTGCGACAAAGTTTTCAAAATTCGAATGGCTCTCGTGTAATATATTTTATTGTGCTACATATCGTTTACGAAACGTAACTTATGTAAAACTAATAAAACAAAATCTATATATACTTTAGACGGCTATTTCGATGTACGTTTCGAGAGATTGTGTTCTTTTGTATAGCGTTAAACGTCCGAATGTATTATATTATACGCGATAAATAACGTACATTTGCGAAAAGGAAAAGCAGTGAAAACGATCGCGTCACATCGATTTTCCGATAACGCACCCAATTTTCCGATAATGCTCACAATTTATCAACATCGATAATAATAATAATAATTGATAAAGACGCGTCGCGTTCCTAAAAAATAATATTATAATATGTAATCGAATATCATTTTACGTACATATTATTATTATTAAAAAAAAAACGGATCGTAAGTAAAAAAATATACTATTATCATGATTTTGCGACCGGATTTCTTTTCTATTTTTATTATTATTATTTTTTTTTTTAACCAACTCCGCGACGCCATCGAGAGATGCCTTTTAGTGCCGATGATGACTAGTCGTACTCGCACAAAACATTAATATTCTAACGGCTATAATAGACACGGCATAGCTGGTATGAAAGCTGTTTGCCTAGAAAATCTTAAAACGTAGTTAAGACGGAGTATTGATATATTATTATTAATTATTAATAACATCACTATTATACAGTTGTAGTCGTCACTAGTCGGTCGTTATATATTATTATTATTATATTATTATGTAGTATTGTCGCATGAACCGCACGTACATTATGATAAGATTAAACACATCATAAAACATATAGGCATACTTTTGAAGTACATTATGTATAAAAAACCATTTTTGTGGTTCAAATACACTTTAAATACTTTATGTATTGTAGTTCTAAATTTAAAAATATATAAGATAGACTTACTTATGAAAAAGAAAGATATACTTTAACTCCATGGGGATGTCGTTAGTAGTTGGCTGTCGTGCCTCGATTTAAAAAAAAAATATATTTTACCGAAAAAACACTAGCCTACATAGACAAATTCTGGTCCGAAGAGCTCGCATAGACCAGTGACTAGTAAGTATTGACAAACAATGAGTTTTTTTTTTTTTTATATTAATTTTTACTTGTTGGATTGCCTCCGATGGGAGGTTATTTCTTCTCGAGTGCATTTTCCCATGTCAATTAAATAATATGTGTAACCAGAGATTCTTACCGTAAATATTGTATTTTATTTAAACACCTTTTAATTATTCAAGTATAAGGAGCTTGAATACACGCGTATATAATATTATATAGGTACTACATGTCTCCATACCATCTACACAATAGAATACGCGATAGCATAATATCATTATAATAGCAAGTAGGTGTAGCCGGCACGAGGTTTAAAATTGTAAAAACCATTTTCGTACAATCGTATATTATAATACCAAAGTGGACCGAAATAATAATTGCGTGTGTTTATGTGAATGTGTGTGTGTGTGTGTGTGTGAGAGAGAGAGTGAGTGACGTGTGTCGGTGGTACAATATAATATATTACACAACAATAATATTATATACGACGACAGTGACGGGGTTTGATGGGCACTGGCGTACGAATCGCACACATATATATATAATATTATGTGCTTGAGTGTGTGTATGTAATTATTTATGTGTTTCCCTGCAACGCCCCTCGACCCTTTGAAGCGTTGGGAGGGGCGAGGAGGGTGTGGTGGCGGGCGACACGCACTTGACCCGAATGAAAAATTAGGGTTTTTTTTTTCTTTTTAATTTTTTCCCACCGTTGCTCCTTTTCTAGAGCGGGAACCTCCTAAGTCCGGGGTCGACATCCAGCAACGGCGGAATCGTGTCAAGGAGACGGAGCGTCGTAGTGGCTTTCAGCGACGAACTAATTACCAGGAGTGGTCCCGCCACTACCACCGCCGCCGCCGCCGCCGCAGCCGCTGCAGCTGCTGCCGCCGACGCCGGTGCTCCGTCCGCTGCGGTAACGACGTCCACTGCCTCCACTGCCTCCACTGCCACCACCACAACCGCCGCCACCACCACCGCCACTGCCTCGGCAAACGTCGCACTTTGTTCGACCGAGAAGACGACGCAGACGGTCGAAGGGACAGCGTGGAACACGTCTACCTCCGCCAGTACCACCATAGTAGCACTGGTAAATCACAGAACCGCAAATACCACACACGCACGCACACACACACACTGAAACCCACGCACACCCACGATCACACACACCCACGAGGCCACACACATACCTACACACACACACACACACACACACACACACACACGTGCACGATTCACCAAAACTCGTACGCTCGCGCACGCACGACTACGACTGCGGTATAAACCGTTAGATATATATATATATATATATATTATTGTGTACCGTGGTGGTGGTACCCATGTCGTGTTGACAACGACGGTAGACGACGATCGACCGTGTATAGAACGAAAAGTGAGCAGCACAAGAAACACGTAGAACTTCAAGAAGCCATCGCGAGAACTCCGATTCTTGAAAATTGAAATTTTTTACCCATTATGTACTTGTATCATTTTTTAGTTGAATATCGCGTGCGGTCTCCATATATCGAAATCATTTGATGTATTTACGATAACCAACGTCACGAACTAGGATATTGTACTAACTACTTAGTGTATTATATGTACAGTCTTGTAAAAATATACATATCGTATTTTGTTTTTGTATTGAGATTCAAATACCTACATCAACTTAAAATGTATTCATATATAGTATTTCAAGTACTTTTGTCAACAATTATTCAAAAACATAATAATATACAAATTATTAGTACCTCATCTAAATACATGATTTTAATTTCACTATCAATACATGACATATTTTTCACTCTACTATCAATACTAAATATTTGTTACAATACCACTACGCTTACGATAACAATGTGGGGTATATTATAGTACACAAATTGTATAAATGTTTGGAAAAATATCGTCAACTATACTTACCTACTTATATAAATTCGTGCAATGCCGTCCGCAGCTGTGTCAATGTATTATATTATTTTAATTCATTGATTTTTATATTTCTTATAATAATAATCAAATATTAAATTACAAAATGTTAAAGATTTTACTTCTCACTGGAAAAAAAGTGCATTGTATTATATTGAAATAAAGACGATAAAGTATTTAAATGAAAGTATTTAATTCTCAAACACGAGTTCGTATAAGACAGTATTTAAAATAACTACCTACTTCATACTTTTGAAATACTTAGGTAATTTACATTTACTCAAATACTAAAACAAGACTGTCAGTATACTATATCTTAGTTCGTGGCAATATTATAAACATAATATTACTATATAATACTTCTCGCACATCGTTAACAATTGCACGTGACACATACATATTATAGAATGGGTAGGCCACTTGTGATTATCACACCGGAACGGACATTTAAATATTGATGTCTTATCATAAATACGTCTATGTATAATTATATATATATACTATGATGAGACTTCTACTTGAATGAGAGGCAATAACAAAAATAGTCTTTCTCTCTTCCCCATTTCGGCACGCTTCCCTCTAAATTGTCAATAATATAACCATTGCCTATCCATTTTTTTAATATCTATGACGCGACTCAAATTTGTTGAACACCGCCGTGTCCATGCAAACCTTTTGTAAACCGTAGTTTTATAATATTATTAACTTACAGTACGTCGTAGTAAAATTAAGTGCACTGTAAACGTACCTACTGAACGTTTTCTTCGGTTCGTCGATGAAACAGTTTTCACGTTTTCGTCGCACAAACGACACTATTATTATATTAATATTATGTTATTACAAGCGCACTATTATGTATACGTCGTGTATTTTATTGTAATCGACCAATGTTTTTTTTCTTTTTTTCCCCTCAGAAATAACCGCGAGTTTTCCAAGAAATTACTTATATATTCCTCAGTGAAAGCCGCCGGTTAAATATTAAACGTATTATATTTCTGTACTCAAGGGAAATTTATTTTGCTATAGTCGTTAATCTATAATATACGTTTAACATTGTTCGACCGTGAAATAATATTACGGCATATTATGATAATTTTCTATTTAAGGGGTGAAATGTCATTTTAATAGCGAGGAAACAATGTACTTAATATGTCATTTTTATATTTTTTTCCCCGAGTCCATTGATACTTACCTGTATCAAGAGAATATTAAAAAAAAACTTTTAACGGAATCTAAATATATAATCTGTTTTAAGTTTAAAATCTACAAACACTGCATTTAAATAAACGGTTCCATCCCATTCTTTCAATCGCATATTATACAGAGTGATTCAACAAGCATGCTTCAACTCCATTTTTTCCTTTAATGATAAGTTTATTCAAATTCTGACTTTTTCGAACTTTTAAGTACACTTAAGGACCATATTATTTTCAATTGTAGAGATTTTTTTAGATCATTTAAGGAGTTTCCTATATCGATACAAACTTCTTTTTTTCAAATGATGGCCAACCTTTTTTATTGTTAATTGTCGGGCATTTTATTTACTTGAAAATTGTTATATATCTAATTCAAAATTTGATAGAGTAGTTTCTATGTTACTAAATGTATATACAAAAAACAATTGTCCTTATAAACATAAAATATAAATCATAATAATGGATTTAGTGTTTATTATACTTGAATGTTAACGAATTATAAAATGTTAGTAGATTAATATTAGTTAGGTAAGTAGTGAATTGTTCAAATCATCAAAGCCCCCATAAATTTCAAACCCATTAACGTGGGTCTATTATTATCCTCGGTACACAAAGTTTAATAACTCTAAAACTAATCGCTCAAATATTATATAATAATTTTAAAAAATCTCATATAAATTACGATTTCCATTAGAAAAAAACGTTGGTTCTCGTCTTAAGAAAAGAAGTTAGTATCACCAAAACACACTACTTAAAAGGTATAAGACATTTTAATAATTCAGAATAAAGTTTATTCAGAAGTATATTGTTAAAAGTTCCAAGAAGTCGGAATTTGAATACGATTATTTTTAAATGAAAAAATATGCTCGGTGGCGAATCACTCTGTATATTATAATTTACAATCTCGTTTATTTATATTATAATAATTGTAATTCAGTATACAATATACAATATAAACATTGGCTTCTTAGATGTCGACGAGTGGTGTTTATGGTGACGGAGACGAGTTCCACGGCTCGTTTAACATTGTTGACTATACGTGCCAAGACCCCTTAAACGCCGACGACTTTGTTACTGTTTGTAACTTTGGCGTAATTGGATAAACTTGGTTTTGACCATCGCCGCCCACCCACACGTCCATATCGTCCGCCGTGTCACAGCTGTACACATAAAATACGATAAAATAATTACCTACCGTGATTATTGAATATCGACAAAATATGCATGCACGATACAATAATACAATTAAAAAAAAACCAGAATGCACGAAATTAATAATAATAATTGTGACTGTTTTGGCAAACACGAATTTAAAAAATATACCCTTATTATTGACATTCCATGTGGTTGTCATGATTTTAATAAAACATTGTATGTACCTACCTAATACCTATATATTATGAGTATTAGGTAAATGCAGAAGTTTATCGAATCATTTCGCATGTATGTATTATGTAGAAATGTAGCATGATTGTAGTAGACGTATTCTCCTAGTACTATAATAATTATAATAATGCAATTAATACAATATTATATTATTATGACGTGTTCATATTATCAGTTTCAAAGTGTTAGACAGCTGACTACAATTTTATACTGAACTCAGCGCCTTCAACGGGGCCACATTTAGGGAAGGGCGCTGGATACAACTGCCCCGGGGGCCAATATTTAAGGGACTCCAAAATTTTGTGGTCAGAAATTTGTTTACTTGTGAACTATTAAAATTTTATAATTTTAATTATTTTAATAACAGCGTTATATAATATAATTTAGTATAATAGTATTATATTCATATACAGGGTGATTTTTTTATCGAAGAACACTCATTATTTCAAAAAGTATTAATGTTTAAGAAAATATTTTTTTACATAGTTTCAAGTTGTTAAAAAACAATATTTTTATTAAAAAATTATATTTTTAAATATTTTTTATCCTTTTAATTTTTTAAGTTTTTTACTTTTTTGAATGACAACATCTAATTTTAATTTTATATTCAAAAACAGAATATTTTTCTGATTATTTTAATACATAAAAATTGAATTTAGGGCAAGTAGTTTATGAGTTATAAGTATTTAAAGTTTAGATGAGCGGAGTAGAGGACAAACATTTCGCGGGGTAACCCCATACCACTCTACTCCGCTCATCTAAACTTTAAATACTTATAACTCATAAACTAATTGCCCTAAATTCAATTTTTATGTATCGAAATACTCAGAAAAATATTCTGTTTTTGAATATAAAATTAAAATTAGATGTTGTCATTCAAAAAAGTAAAAAACTTAAAAAATTAAAAGGATAAAAAATATTTAAAAATATAATTTTTTAATAAAAATATTGTTTTTTAACAACTTGAAACTATGTAAAAAAATATTTTCTTAAACATTAATACTTTTTGAAATAATGAGTGTTCTTCGATAAAAAAATCACCCTGTATAGTATTATGCTGTTTGAAATGTTTTAATTAATATTAATTTGCAGTTTCAAAATATAATAATTTTGTTTTATTTATTCATGAAGTAACTATTTAAATATGTTAAAGAAAAAACAACTTATCTGATGAATTATAAGCAAGGTTTAAGTGATATAAAATCAAATGTATCTTTGCGGAGAGAGGAACAACTGAACAAGCAATTACTAAACAATATTTTTAAAAAAAGCACACATTGCAAAACAAATATTCTTTTCTGTACTCACAATGTAAAAGGTTAATGAAGATATATTTCCCATATTTGCCGTGGATAGGCCCCTTAAGGGGAGCAATTTTTTTTTGTACTGAGCGCAAAATGTCTAAATGCGGCACTGGCCTTCAACCAACACTTCATATTATTATAATTTCTAAAAACTGTTGGACATTTTTAATGCTTCCTTAATGACAATATAAATAATTTTAACTTTTGAAATATTTGCATAAATTATCTCCATAAAATATTGGCCATGGCAGATTTTGACATTAATTATTATTGTTATTATTCTGTGTTTTTAGTGTGTGTGAAAACACTATATAAATCATAATAACCGCAGAAGCTTGCTAATGCAATAACAATATTTCAAAATCACAATTTAAACGTTTTAATATTAGAATATCGTTTTTGACGAGGACAGTCAGGACACACTTGCGACCCAGCACTTATATTATAATTTATAAAAACAAAAACGACCGTATAGGTACGTTCTCGTACAATTATATAATAATTTTAATAAAACGATGTTGTAGAACAACGCCGCGGCCGACTCGGACGACCAGGACATGACTTGCCAAGAACTTTTGGCCATCAGCGGGGCCCTGTCGGCAGCTCTGCCCACCGGACAATCAGCCCTGACGTCGCTGCTGAAGGCTCTCGGCAAGACTGGGGGTGCCTCCATGGCCACCATAGTGCAAAATGTCAACCGCACCGCCAACAACAGCAACATCCATAACAACAACAACAACAACCACAGGAACAACAATAGGACGAAACGTCACGCGCTCGTGAGTTGATAAAATATCGCCTATAACTCGCGTCCCGATGCGAAACGTTCCGAAACGGTTTACCAACGATCGGAAACGTATCGAAACGACGTAGTATAATATTTTAATATTATAGTAATAACAATAATAATATCATTATTTCCCTCCCCCCTCCCAACCAAAACAACCATCTTCGCCCTACACAGATGGACAGGCAATCGGACGGCGAACTGATGATGGACAATGACCATTTGGAGAGTAAAAACAAAGCGTGCCTCACCGACGCCGTGGGTTGTCTGCAGATTTATTGTCTGGTGGGTTGTTCCCTGTTGAGAGAGTGTATAAAGCTCCTTGTCAACCACAGACGATTCCAGCAGTGCATTTTGCTAGCAATACTTATCAACACGCTCAGCATGGGCATAGAGTACCACAATCAGGTAAACGAGGAACAAAACGATTTACCTTTCCGTTATTATTTATTTCTTTCATTATTTATTATTTTTATTATTTTTTTTTTTGCCCTCATCATTACACGTCATTACACGCGTCGAAATGCGAAATTCTTATGATTCTCAGTACAACGTTTATGGGCGAATTAAAAAAAAAAAAAAAGTTAACAATCGCTACTACAATTTTGACGTATAATGTTCAAGTATATTATTATTGGTTATTTCATATATTATTTCTCTATTTAATAAGCATATCACCTGAACTTTAAAATAAGAAACTTCACGTCACCTGTGTGTATAATAAATAACAAAAAATTACGTCATAAAATAATATTTAATGACGTAATATATAATTATATTATTCTGTAGAATATAAGGCTGAATTAAAACAATTGTATTTTTTTTTATGTATTATACACTTTATTATTTTTAGTTTTTTATTTTACATCAAAAGCAAATTCTTTGAAGGCTATAATAATAGTGGGCTTAATTTTTTTTCTGTTGCAATATCTTTTTTAATTAATTTTTCTGTTCTGTATTTATTATTTTAATAATTTAATTTAATATTAATAACTAAAAGTAAATGCACGAATGAAAAGTTAAAATCTAATAAAAAAATAAAAAAGTAAAAAGAAGTTTTAGTAAATTATTCATTATTTATTTTTAGTGTCACTATTAAGCATGTCAGATTGTCAGATACTTATTGTATTAATTAATGATACAAATGGCTAACTAAAAAAACACAAACGATTGTTACTATTATAATAATAATATATTAAAAGTGCATAGTTTAATTATTGTAAAAAGTCGTTAAGCCAAAAATCATATGGCTATAACAATATTATATTACTTGAGAGTTAAGACTTAAGTTAGTAATAATAAATAAATGATAGACAAAATAATGCGTCCTATACGCGGATGTAATGAATTTGCCTACAGATATCGCCGTCATTGAAATATGATGATAATAATATTATATTATTTTGGACTACAACTGCTACAACTGTTGGCAATAATAACTGCACCACTAATTTACTATATTATTATGTTTTATAAAAATGTGATTTTAGCCCACGGAACTCACTGTAATCGTGGAATACAGCAATATTGTTTTTTCTGCGATATTTGCCGCCGAGATGTTTTTGAAGGTAATCGCCGAGGGGCCGTGCGGTTACGTCAGTAACGGTTTCAACGTATTCGATGGAATCATTGTCATATTAAGGTATATTATTCACAGTTCATTAGTTCTTTTCAAAAATAATAATAATAATAATGTTCATCAATACATCGAAACGTAATAAGATTAATAGAACTCTATGTCGATTAGTTGCACAGTGTTCACATTCTAAAAAAAAAAAAAATAACAATGAACAAACCGAATTCGTTGTCGCAGAAGAAATGTAAAGATAATAAATCCAATAATGTCACAGATAGATTTCATTGTATTCCTTATCTCTCTGTCGAAATGATGACTTTTATTCACCTGTCAAAAACTCAATGTCGTCGAGATGAGCCACGCAGATCGAAATTATTATTTTGTTTGAGCATAATTTTCATCCGATTTTTTCTTTTTCCATGACATTGCATTTAATATTTTTGTTTCATTTGCACGATGAACGTTGTATATAAATTTCGAATAATCCTATGCACCGACGTTTCAATTCGATAGATCTAGTAGAAAAATAGCTGACACTCTACTGGGCATTGTGGTGTCAGTAAAAATGACCCGTTTTCGTTGCATCTAATCAAAAAATACCTGTTTAATTTATTTATATTGTTCCTTAGGTGTTCTTTTTTATTGATTATCCTTAGTTATAGAATAAGCTGAGGGTCGGTAGATTTATAAAACATGCAAATCGAGTTTTTTTTTTGTAGATGGTGCGAGAAAATCGTTCAAATTGTTTTGAAATAAACTCAAAACATATAACTGTTTTTAAATAATTGTATTTTTTTTTTTTTGATGCAGTTAATATTATTGGACGCCGGTATTTATTATACTAAATATTTAGTCTGAACCGTTTTGTTTTTAGTATAGTGGAGTTGACTCAGTCGTTTGAGAACACTAGTGGACAACGAGAAGGCAATTCAGGGCTGAGCGTGCTGAGAACATTTAGGCTATTGAGAATATTGAAACTCGTCCGATTTATGCCAAACCTACGTCGTCAATTGTTCGTCATGCTCCGTACCATGGATAACGTTGCAGTGTTTTTTTCACTCCTAATTTTGTTTATCTTCATATTCAGGTAAAACAATTAATCACTTGACGAAATGTTTTTTTTATTAATAATTGCAACTAATCAAGTTTGTCGACATAATATAATAATACGTAATACACGGCCATGCATATTGATAGGTTTCGTTTGTTAACCATACGTTTTTCACGTAAAGATTAAAAATATTATAAACAAAAACTAAAACGTACCGTTGATGTGGCTGAATATTATGGTATTAATTTCGAACAATATTGCGGAGGTCATTAGTTCTATGATGATCTATATTATACCGGTTTCGTTGAAACAAGAAGGCGCCGCCGACGTCCACCGACGATTAACTCTAAACAGCGAAATAAACGCAGGCGATATTTTGTTTTCGGTTCGTTCGCCGTTTTCTTCCCGCAACATGGTTATCGGTCCGCAAAAGACGCAATTTGATTATAAAAGTCCGAAAATTAACTGTGGGTCGGATTTCCGCAGTGACAGAGGTCGAAACAAAACATCACTACAACTACTACAGGGCAGTTTGTTATTTTTGTCTCGACGAAATCCCTCGTCAAATTCAATTTGTCAGTAGCACATTGTTATCTCGCCACGCTCGCTATACTCTCTACGCAATCATGGCAGTGTCTAGCGGAAGGAGGGTGTACCATTTCATATATACTTATTTATCACGCACAGTTCTCTTACCCGTGGAACAATTTGCACAGTAAGAGAGAGAGACAGAGGCAGATATAGAGGCAGTGTGAGGAAGACAAACAGGCAGACAGAGGTAGAGAGTGAGAGAGAAAGAGGGGATTGAGAGACAGAGGGGGGAGAGAGCCTAGGGGTAACTGAGAACAGAGACAGAGAGAGTGAACTATCCCTCCGTTTTTCTATAAGCAGTTACAGACGGTGTGTGGCCACGTTTTTTCCCCGTTATTTCTCAACAACGTGTTTTGACATAATATTGTGAGACACGCGACGGCTGTGGCGATTTTCGTTTGAGCCATTCGAGCGGGATACGTTCACAGAATAATAATATAGCGTATTTTATAGATTTTACAATAATATATTATAATATTATGAGCGCATCGTATTTCAAAAGCGAAACTTTCTAGAGAATACCGCCACCGGCGCGCGTTCCACCGAGCTTTCACAATGCCTATTTAATGATGCCGCTGCCATTTTGTTATTGCGGTTTATCATTACCGCAAAACAATAAACCGAGACACACTCAAATATGTCACACGCCTAATCCAATTTTGGCAAAGCGCTCCTTTGCGTGCCATTGTACGCACACACACACCCACCCACCCACCCACCCACCCACCCACCCACAGACAACTGATACAATTCACATTACGATAAGACTATACGGGCGTCTAAAGATATGTGCGAAGACGCGTCAAAACAAGTTACTACCGTTTTGACAGCGGCATATGATAATATAAATAAACGAAACTGTATACAGAGCGATTCTCGCCAAGAATACGCTCGACCGCATTTTGTTCTTTGGTTTTACGTTTTTGTTTTTTTCAATTTTAATTTATGAAGTTTTTAAGCATCCTCAAGACCATAATATTATTCTACAGTTCTAAGATTTTTTTTTTCCATTCCAATTAATGAGTGTTCTGTAAAGCGGTACACACTTCTTTTTTTCAAACGAGAACCTAATTTTTTACTGTAAAATATTATGCATGGACGTTTTTTTTAAATTATTATAATTCATGAAATTTTTAAGCATACTTCAGACCGTAATATTACTATCCTAAAATTATAATTTTTTTTTTTGTGTTTAATTTAATGAGTGTTCTGTTAAGCGGTACACACTTCTTTATTTTCAAACGAGAACCTATTTTTTTTACTGTAAATAGTTTGTTCTTCAAGTGACTTATTATTTTTATTTTTTTGGAAAACCTCGACGTTACCGAATCTAAATTTGAATGATCAATCAGAATTCGAATAAATACAAGAATAAAGAATAATATTAGTGTGAGCGTACTATTGTCGAATCATCCATATAACACAATCATGTGCATATACATATGTACGCGCGACTTTTTATTTGTTCGTTATTGTTCGTGTAAGACTTTTCAAATCAACTTTATAGGAAAACCAATCGATAAGTGATGACAAAATCACTGTTACACGTTGTTTACTTATGTTTTACGTAACATTTCATGTTAACAATCGACGAGTTGGTATATTCGAGTAATTTCATCGAAAAAAAAGACAATCGTGTGCGCGAAACAATACACAACAACTAAATCAAACGGAAAAATACGTACCTATACACCGATAAATCAATCAGCTAAATATGTCGATAGTGTTTTTTAATATCGAATCTATGCCAGTCGGGTCTATAATAATTAATATCGACACATTTCTAATTTATTAAACTTTTTTCGCAATGTTTATTTCATTTTTTACGTTTTATTTAATCATGGTTTTTTTCCGTGTCGATATTTAAATTAATAGTCATAAATTGCCGTTTTTTTTTTTCGCGCAAATGGGTAAGCACGATAATTATCATAAGATTTTAACAGAATTCGATTTGATAAAAACAATCAAACTTGGGCTAGTGAAATACAATATTATAAATTGAAGAGTATGGACTATGAAATTGTAAAATATGATATAATTGATACCGACGAAATCAGCAGATAACTCCGGCTAGTGAGGGTTCGTAAGTCCAATGTGCTTAGGGTATGAAACACAAAACCCTGATGACATCGAATTTGCGTATGATTAAAAGCAACAAGATTTAATATTGATTTATTACATCTTATTATAACATATTAATTATTATAGCTCATTAAATGTATGCTCCTACTGCAAACCATATAAAATGTATAAAACTTTATTCCTAAGGACCAGTTAATTATTTTTTTTGAAACATAATTACCTATGTTGGATTACATTTTTTGTATAGAATCTGTTTGTAATTTGTCTTTTTTTTTTGCGGCAAAAACAAATGATATTTTTTCATCTTTTAATTTATTCATCACCAGTTTAAAAACGGTTCATTTTTTTTTTTCGTAATTACCATTCTTATTCATATTGTAATAGTTAAAATACGATAAATTCATTATTTGTAATACGAAATTAATTCTAACAAGTACTAAACATAAAATATTTATAGATACTTACAAATTACTTATTGAGTTATATAATAACGATGTAATCTAACATTGTATAATATAATTGCTACAATGCTACAGTCCGAACCTAATATGATTACTCTTAAATTAATCTCCGTTTTACACAAATTTAATTTATGATAATATATAAATAAATATAATTAATATTAATTACCTGTGTATTATATACATAGATATAGGAACAAAACAAATTTTAGTTTACAGTTGAGTACCTACTCTTAGACTTCCTTACCAATACAACCAAAAAAATAAATTGTTAGATAAAATATACTTTTAATTATTTACCAACTAAATTAAAACAAAATATTAATAAAAAAAATTTTGGATGAATTAATTTATTAGTTAATACTATCTTGGCGTATTACCTATAACTCTATCCTTTTTATTGATACTTAAATGTACATTGCTATATATAATTTTAAAATTTCTGTTTTCTTAATCATAAATGTCGTTGCCTAACCATCAAAAAATATCCTTTTAAAACCATATTATCGTGGTATTAAGTATTTAAGTGACAAACAATCAATTAGGAAATCACCTCAAATAACTCTTAGAAATTTAAACTGAGAACTCCAATCAAGGTAAGATTTGATTTGTCCTTTTAGCTTTTCTCATTTAGTTCAACAGAACTGTAATCAAGTACATTTCACTGGAGAATTCAACAGCCTCGCAATCACAATAAACTCAAAAGTCGGCTAAAATGTAAATTGATTAATGTTTGTCCAATCAGAAATCAATGCTGTGGCACTTGTTGGAAGCTAGTAGGGTTTAGTCCTGGTGGTATTGGGATTAATCTTGACTTGTAAACCGCCTTTGTACTAATTTCCTTTAACCCAGGCCCTTTCTCATCAAACAAAAAACTTAAATCGATAACAACTTTTTCAGTTGTTTTAACCATCCACTTACATGTTTTTGTTGTTAAAATACAAAATCAAAGTGTGTAAACATAATAGAATAAACTACCCCCATATTTTTAGTAAGGAAATCCATGAGTCTGAATTATTTTATAAGTTTAATTACTATACTGTAATTTTATAGTAATTTAGGATATTATAGCCATACAAATTAAACCCATTAATAATATATAAATATATCTTGCTAAAGAAAAATAACGAAGGTTTTTCATGATTATTAACTGCCTGTTTGTAATGTCTTATTATGGACAATTTACTTATCAAGTTTAGTATATCAATACGCTATACCTCTTTAACCTCTAAGAGCACTCGTTTTCAACATTTATATATTTACATTTTTAAAGATTTATTTTTTTAAGATATTGACCTAATAAACAATATACAAAAAAAAATAATTAAATTATGGCATAGGTATGAGAAGAAAAACAAGACCATCCAGTGATAGAAACCGACATGTTTCCTCTCTTGTTTAGTATGTACAGGTTTTATAATGACGTGTTCATTCTCTAACACACTTTTTATAGTAAATTGTAAAAAGCTTCGATCTTGAATAGTTGAATTTCGGGTGTGACGTATACTAGAAAATTGAATATAGTTATAGTACGGGGGCGGAGGGTATGACCTAACCTAAAATTATAATTTTAACAAAAGTCGTCAAAAATCGCGAAAACTTGATAATTATTTTGTAGGTAGTTAAAATTCATAACATTCAATAATTATTAATTTAATTGTTTATAATTTATATATGTTGATGGCATTTAATATTCAAAGGAACACTGAATTTCCTACTACACTACAGCAGAGAAATTTCCCTGGGTTTATTTTAATTTACCAGTAGACTTACCGCACCGGTCTTACATTATTAATTATCATAATGATTTCTATTTTCCATTAAACTTAAAATAAAAAATAAATAAAAATGTTGATTATATCTTTATAAAATATAAAATTCAAGTTTCTGACATACTTTTATACGGAATACCACTACTATACAGCTCAATGAATTTAATATCCTAATGTTTTCATGATAAATATCATTGTCTGGATTAAATACAACGAACAAAAAGCAATACATATTATTATTTAAAAATGTTGAATGTTGCCTTTCAAGTGGTTATTTGAATTAGTTTGCATTAAACATAGACAAACAAAGAGATAAAATCCGTTTTGTCTCATGTCTGTGTGAACACAATAAAGTTTAGTGTATACACCATACAGCTGAGATTGCATACTAAGCTTCCATAAGATTTCAGTTGTGTCCCGTCACAGGAACGACTGAATGCAATATATATTATTGTATACATTTTTTTGTTTTTAATTAACCGTTATATGAATTCAGATTAGAATTATTAACAATTAATATTTTTGTAGTATACTGGGCATGAACTTATTCGGATGTAAATTCTGTAGCCGAAAGAATGACGGAACAGGGGATGATGTAGCGTGCGACAGAAAGAATTTTGACTCGTTGTTGTGGGCGTTAGTCACTGTGTTTCAGGTACCTGGAAAGATTTCCGGTTATTTAAAATGTATTAAATCTTCCTCTCAAGTTTTCTCTCTCTGTCTTCCTGGTAATATTGCAGCACGCGACATACAAAACATTTTTACAGTAAACCCGTTTGTGCAAAAAGAAAATAAACGAGGGAAATATTATTAATTTCCCGTGTAAATGAAACACGAATATTTCGTTTCGGTAATTGAATACGATGAATAAAAGTACATAAATATATTATAAACAACGGAACGTGCAGGTTACCGGATATCCAAAATACAACGTTTTAAAAATAAATATCGCACGGAAAATAATTATTTTACTATTCGGAATATATTTGTGCCTGACCCGTTTTTTTTTTTTTTTTACGCTGAAGACGACGTAAGATAAAATGAAATTTCTAATTATTTTCAACGACAAGCACATAAAAAGCATTGGGTAATAATAATTTTAAAAAAACCCTCATTATCAGATGACAGTGTCAGACATGGCAATCAGAACTCATTCGATAACATTAATGTTCATATTACTATAAAATGCTAAAAAAAAATGTATACCTATCTACAGTAATATATTAGATGAAATTGTGTTCTTAGCAGGGATGGAAAACGTTTTCAATTTTTTCGTTTTCGTTTTTGTTTATGGATTTAAAAATTATAGTTTTTAAAAACGTTATTTTTCCATATTGTTTTTGATTATATATATAATATATTCTTAAAACTTATAACTTTTAACTTTTAAGTTACAATAGTAATGCGCAGTATAGAAATGCATTTAAAAGTTAAAAATTCAAAAATTCAAAATTTCTGATTTAAAATTAAACGTTTTCAAAAACGTTTTCCATCCCTGGTTCTTAGAGTCTATAAAATATAATATAGGTTATGGTGTATAATTTATTAAATACGTGGAAAAATAAATGAATTATTTACTTCCAAGTATATTATATATACTGAGATTCCGGCTTTCTGAAGTCTACACATGTAATGGGATTTTCTCTAACACTCTTCTTTTTAATTTTTCCTATTTCCGGATTCGTATTACGTTCGATTATTAAAAAATGCTTGGCACAAATCAATACAATATTATTTTACCACACGATTCATTATAATTTATAATTATAAACTTAATTTCAACAGAAAAATACTCATTTCTTTCATCGGCAGCTTCTGTAAGCCGAGTAGACGTTCTGAAACTTTGCCGTAAACGTACGACGACGGAGGTAAATGTTTAATGATGATAGCTTTTCTAGACGTACATTTTATTGTTTTTGATTAATATTACGTTGAACAATACATTAATGCTTCGGACGGTCTCGGAAAATAATGTTTTGTAATCTAATCTCGAGATTCCGTAAAAAAAAAAAAAAAAAAACATAAACCGTAACGAACTAGCATTAGAAGAAATTGAAAACTGCCGTCGTAAAGTACATAAATATGGTGCCCGCGGGAATTCTAGAAACCATTCCGTTATGCTTTTAGTTTTAGTCTAAGTCTCTGTCTTTGGAATCCCGGTGGACAATATGCTCAATCAATTACATCGTATTATTATTAATACAATGCCCCTGGCTAAACGACACTAAATTCAAATTATTTTCATACGCAAATAATATGTAGGTAAGTAATAATGGTTGCAAGATCGATTGTCGTAATAATATTATAACGGGGCCCGTAATATTATATTGTTATTTTGATTTAATTTTGCACAAACGAGGTTCTTACGTAAAGTGTTGATAGTGTACATTTTAGCTGCATTGTGCATTTTCAGCCATTAACTTATAACATTGTTTAAAATTAATCTACATGCCTATTATATAATATATTAATATTTATACACAACATATAATAGGTATTAAAATAAACGAGTCGAATTAAGATTAACTCTTTTTTTTCTTATTTTTAATTTGTTTACATTCTTTTTACTATACCTAACGCTTTGGCTTTGCACCATATTTTAAATAGGATTTCGAGATTTTTAATTCTAACAGCTAATATTATCATACTGTAATTAACATATATATATATATAAATATATATTATCTCCCCTGTCGCTATTTCATTTCAATAATAATAAAATATAAAGGACACGCGGATGACAAAAAAAAAAAAAAAAACGATGTCCATAATTTTTAATGTGCATCGAAAACCGTTGAACCAGCATTTTATCAAACAAAATCCTTTAGATGGCAAAACTCAATTTACATATTATATATTGTAAGTAGTATACGCACAAGCGGATTTTGATATTTACGGTAAACACGTAAATATCACGTGTACGTATTTAAGTGTTTTCGTCCCTGTTGAAACCAAGTGAGGATATGCATTGTGCAGATACAAAACCTCATTGTGCATTATGGAAAACTTGACGAGAAAATCTTTCCGTTTTTTTCCTCCTTTCCCCCGATAAACCTTAACCATTTTATATTTATTTGTGTGTGTATTTTTTCACATAAATTGTTATCGACTTGCTCTTGAAAAACTTCTTTTTTTTTTTAATACCCGTGGATCGCATATTTCATTTTGAAAAAAAAAAAAAAATACTAAATAAAGAGAGAAAGTTTACGCCCAATGCACATTTTCCGAATGTTTCAACAGGTGCAGAAAAAAGCACATAAAACCCATGTACTCATACACGCATAGCGTAAAACTTAGAAACATAAAAAAAAAACACTGTGACACACCCGTCATAGATCATGCCGACATATTATATATAGACGTCTTGTAGTAAGTCCTAAATAGCAATAAATAGGTTAATAATGTTAACAATATATAATTACACTATTAGAAAAAAATATCATATGTTTATAAATATACATATTATATTGAATACGATATATTTGTAAGCAATTTGTATTTTTATTATTATAGTCTAATACTTAGGAAGTATTCACTTTTGTTTTATTTATCGTATATATTATCAAACTCGCCTCTGTCACTCTGAACTCGTCCTCGTGCTACTGTTAGTCTACTTGCATGTTCGAACCGAACGATTTGTGACGTCATAATATTATTATTATTTTTTTTTTAAATACTACCTATTTAGTATTAAAACGAATTATTAACAAACCCAAGTACTACAATATAACATCATTATACAACTTATCTTATCCGTGTAACATATACATATTACCATCATATAACAATAGATGTACATACACAGATGAGTCCGGCGCCTTCGAAAGTATGTAAGTAAAAACATGAACACGGAGAGAACAATAATATGTACACACCACGAGATAACTGATGAGTGAATATAAAAAATATGATATTTTTTTAGAAACGTTTATCTGCAACGTATAAATATCCAAACAAACAAAATCGACAACCAGCCGATAATTCGTATAAAAAAAAAAATAATAAAAATAATAGTAAAACATTATATAAGTACTTACCTGAATACGTATAAATTACGAAAAATAAAATAAACTTGTCATTGTTTAACATTTTTTTTTTTTTTTTCATCTTAAAACTAGTACCTACCTATTTATTTTACGTAGAAATACATTCTTTGCAGCATTCTCGGAATGTATCTTTTCGGTGGTAAGTTTTGCATGTACGGGAACGGAGCCCGGGAATGCAACTGCAAAGAAATTGTCACTAAACATCCCCTGTGCGTCTGCGATCGAAAACATTTTAATAATGTGTTATGGGCAACAGTCACCGTCTTTCAAGTAGGTCATCAAATACTTAGATAGTGTTGTAATGTGCAAACGCATTTTACCATCCGCAAATTGCAATTGATTTATGATCTATAGAAAATATTATAACATAATAATATTCACAAGAGTAATTATTATTAACAGCAATTATTAATAAACGTTTTGAAAAGCGACGGCGACGTATTAATTATTATAGTATTTCAACGTGCACACGTCTTTCATGATATAATATTAAAAATTGTTCTCTATAAGCTATTGAGTTTTTTTTTTTTTTTATCGACCATGTTCGTTTTAAATAAATTAATGTTATACATCAATTATTTATAGCAAACTATAGGTTGTACCCTAATGCGGTTATGCAATATCGATCAGTGCAAACACTAAAACAAATGTCCCCGTCTACAATATTTTAATTAAAAATTCATTAACCTGGAATGTATAACCAACCGTTGAATAAATTATGAATAGGTATAAAAATCTATCATTATTCTCTAATCTACTAGCATTAATAACTGCGTTTATCAATAATGTTTGTTGGACTTGTAGTGGTACCTACAACAATATCAGTATCAGTTTTTTATAATACCTTTACGATCACTGAACACTGCAGAACTTTAATTTAATATTTTGTAATTCCAGAACAAGTTAGCTACATTGATGTCAATTTTAAAAACCTATTTGTGTTTCGAAAAATATATATATTTGAGAACGAGGTAAATGCATTTATAAATTAATTTTGTAAAATAACAACAACAAAAAATTACATCCGTTACATTGAAATCTAAATACGTGTATAATTTTTAATGCCATTGTTTTATTCTGTGTTATATTCTATAACAATACAGATTTTACACACAACTAAAATTCATGATACAACCAACATACTTTTTGTTCCTAAATATTACATTATAATCACCATTATCAGAATTAACATAAACATGATATAATTACACTATGATATATATATTTCGTAACGCAACAAGTTCAAAATAAATACGAGATACAATTTATTATTTTAATGGCACAAACATAATAATAATGATAAAATCAAATATCTACGAATTGTTGGAAAAAAAAATAGCAGTGATTTGTTTTTTTAAATATAATGAATAAGATTAAAACTAAAAAAATAATAATAGTTGTTAAATACGTCTCACGTGCATTTTAGCAACAGTAAAATGCGTTTGTACTACATAATAGTTTTTATTTCTAGGTATTTTACATATTTTGTTTACCTATCTTAGAAAACAAAAAGGTTCATATCTATAATAATATGTTTATTATTTTTTTTGTTCGATTAGTGAAACATTGAAACCATTTCAATACTACCAATGGTCGTACTATGCTTTTAGTGACCTATTTCACGATTGTGCTTCTAACAACCGCTTTTTTTTTTTTTTTTTATTACGAAATTATAGATTCAGAATTATTTTTTAGTATTTGTTTCAACAACACCACCGCTTATAAAGTCGGACCTATAAACTTTTTTCGATACACATGAAAATATAAAAAATATATAATAATTATATCAGTCCCCGTTTATAATTAGGGTTAAACGAAATACATTTTACTTTTAGGTATTATATGGATATTGCACGAATCTATAATATTATAATAATATGATAAGTTCTTAATTTAATTTCCACTAATATCATGTGTTTTTTAAACGATTTTAAACTTTATTATTATTATTTATTTTTACCTCGGCACAGATTCTGACACAAGAAGACTGGAATATAGTGTTGTTTAACGGAATGGAAAAAACGAGTCATTGGGCTGCTCTTTATTTCGTGACGCTGATGACTTTTGGCAATTACGTGCTGTTCAATTTACTGGTAGCAATTTTGGTTGAAGGATTTTCTTCAGAGGTAATAGCCACAGTTAGAAACATTGCATAGTTGCCTTACACGCCTCGTGTCTACTCTAAGCGAATAGAAACAATCATTTTTAAAATTGCATGCAGTTGAGATTCTTTTGTATATTTTGTTGATTTGAAGTTTAGTATAAAGTCATTGTGTACCGTTAGACACTTGTGTAAGTATAATATATTATATCGCCGAGTTTATCAAACTGGTTACTGATATATATATAATATCGTGGGTGTAAACTGCAAATCTTCAAATAGTATTACAGTAAACACTTGTTTTTATCGTTCTCAAAAACATTAACTTTTTTCACATTTTATTTTTGAAATGGTTTTATCAATATTAGCGTTTATATTTTAGTATAGTTTACCACACGTTTTTTTTAGTGCACAGTTGATACTGTTCATAATAACATCACCGAACAAAAATGTATATGATAAGGTATAAATAATACAAATCATTGCTTCAATATTTGATATTTATACGTAATCGTTTACACAATTAAAATTAAGAAATTAAAAATATAAATTGTCATTTAAAATAATAATAACAATAATAATTTATTTATTTGCAAATAAAAATACAATGCATTAAAATTAAGACAATAGAATAGTACGCAAAACTCCCTACAAGCATAGCTTGTACTGGGAGAGTAGAGTTCAGACAATAGTTTAAGTATATATGTTATTTTGTCAAAATGTCATAAAGAATAAACAAAAATTAAGATCAATCAAGTTATAAAATGTAACAATATATTATGATTTAAGATTTGTTTAAATAATATCTAAGTTAAGATTATACAAAAAAAATTTAAATTCTGTAAAGTTAAATAAATTAATATTCAGTTTTTTACATAAATTTGATCCTACATTTAAAATACAATGAGAACCAAAAGTTGTATTACAATAATTAGAAACAATATTAATATTATGCTTATATCTGGTATTATAATCGTGATTAACATTGTTTAATAGATGCTATAATGTTTATAAAATAGTAATAATACATTCGTACAAAATATTTTATCAAAGTTTTGTACATCTAGTTCATTAAAATAAGCTGTGTACTATAAGATTTGGGTTTGCTCAATAAAAATGTTTATTGTGACTTTTAGTTTATCTAGGTATGTGCTGTAAGTACAACCCCAAAACATTATTCCATAACTAAAAATAGATATTGAACCAAAGCAATGTAGATGATTCTCTTCATCTTAATATTAAAATAGCGTTTAACGTCCTTAAAAAGAAAGAAAAATTTACGTAAATTGGAGATTAAATTATTAATATGATATGACCACTTTAATTTATAATCTAATGTAATACCGATGTATTTATTCATTTCCACTTTTTCCAAAATTTTACAATTACAATTTATGTTGCCTAAAAAGCAAAATGTACAATCAAAAAAATGTAATTTTAGCTCAAAGTTATGATTTAAAGAGTGCTCTTTTGCTCTTTTTGATTTTAAAAATCATATATTTAGATTTAGAAATATTAAGAATCAACATATGATTGTAAAACCATACTTTAACACAATATAGTAGTGGATTTGCTTTTTTATATAAATCATTATAATTGTCACTATGTAGCAATATGGCTGTATCATCAGCGAAACAAGAAATGTTTAATTCATCATTTAAATTTAATAGACCATTTATATAATAAGAAATAAAATAGGCCCTAATACAGTTCCTTGTGGTACCAAATGCGTAATATTAACAGGATCACTAATAACACCATTTAATCTGACAACCTGTGTTAGTAAGATTGAAAGATTAATGCAGACCTGTAATACCAGCATATCAGTTTTATTAAATATCATGATTAACCGAGTCAAAAGCTTTTTGAATATCAAGAAAGATGCCAATCACTTTATTTTTACAATCTAGGTTCTCATGAACAAATTTATTAAGAATAAGCAGAGGATCCATTGTTGATTTACTTGGTAGAAATCCAAATTGATTACTAGAGAAAAATTTATGTCTATCTAAAAAATTTAATATTCTGGACTTCAGACATTTTTCAAAAATTTTAGATAATGTTAATGATAGCGAAATAGGTCTGTAATTCTCACAATATTTAGTATCACCAGATTTGTATAGAGGTATTACAATTCATTTTTTAAATAAGATTGGGTAAAGACCTGTTGAGATTATTTGATTGAAAATATATTGAATAGGACCAATAATATTATTAATATCTTCTTTAATATAGTATTTGTTATTCCATATTCAAAGAATGTATTTTTAGGTTTAATTAATGAAATATATTTTATAATTTCTGTCTGTGAAATAGGGGTCAAAAAAATTGAGTCTTGTATAAAATATTTTTTATTTAGCCAGCTCCATGGTTTTTTCAAAAAACCATTTTTGTCAAAATCATATTCTTTGTTTTTTCCAACATTTGCAAAGAAGTTATTTAGTTCATTACCAATATCAACATTTTCATTCTTAATTAAACTGTCAGTACTTAAAATATTATTTATATGAACATTTTTATTTTTATGCTTGCCAGTAACATCATTAATAATTTCCCACATCTTTTTAGAGTTCTTTGAAGCATTCTGTATCTTATCAAAGTAATATATTTCCGTCGCTTTTCTAATTAGCATATTTAGTAAGTTTCTATAAATTGAGAAAGTTTTTTTCAAAACTCTATTAAAGGGAGATTTTTTTAGATTAAATGATAATTTTTCTTTATGTCTAATTGATACCACAAGGCCACGAGTCATCCATTATTTAAGCTTACGAAATGTATTACTATTAACATGAACGAGTTTCACTGTACTAGAACAATTAATATATAAGTTAAATGTATTATTAAATATGTCAATTAATGTATAAACATCACTAATATTAGATAAACAGGACCAGTTATCATCTTTTAACATATTATTTAAAAGTTCAAAATCAATTTTATTATATTGTTTTAAATTATTTTTAGTATGAGTAGTGTTGATTTTATGTAATGTTAATGATAGTTGCAAAATGATCTGTAATATCACATTTAACAATTATTGGATTAATATTATCTATTTCAAAGTTTTTGACAAAAGTATGATCGATACAAGTGGCTGAATTTTTTACTACTCTAGTAGGACTTCATACAGGATAAAAAACAATAACTAGCTAAGATATTGAAGTATTCAATAGTTTTTATATTATTTTTTAAGATATTTATATTGAAATCTCCACATATAATTACACATTGCTTACTATCAAACGTAGATAAATTGAAATTGAAATGAATTAAAAAGTCATCAATATTATCATTTGGCGATCTATAAATTCCACATACTGTTAAGTGCTTACCTCTAATAAATAGTAATATTTCTAAAGCATTACAATTTTTAATGTTGTGTTTATTTGCATTTAAAACTAGAATATTATCTTTAATAAACATAGTAACACCATCGTATTTATTGAGCAAACCCGTTGAGTTAATATTAATATAACCATTTAAATTGAAAATTCAAAAGTTAATTCTGGTTTCACAAACAAACATGAGTTAAAAAAATGGTAATAAAACTATACTATCAATAAATTACCAAAAAAACATTTAATTGTCTCATACAATCAAACAATAAGGTCGATAGATATGAACACCATAACGATTTGTAATTATAAGTAATTACTATCAAACGACGTTTTGACCTGCATTACCTACTATATGATGACGATGACGTCTAAAGTATAAATTATCTATGAAATGTCTAACCTTTAATTTTGGATAATTTATCCGACTAACAAATCGGAGTTATGTGTAATTTGGGAACGAAAGTTTTTTTAATAGAAAATGGTATTATATTTTTAGCGTAATGAACGCAGAGAACGTGAACGACGTGAGCTGGAGAGGCAACAACAGTCGTCGTGGTGCAAGTGCACCTGTTCATGTTATGGTGACGACAAAGGGGATTGTGAATTCTGTACGGATAAAAAAAGTCTAAATGGAAAATCAAGTACTGAGTTAAAAATCGAAAATCCAAACAGAGACATTATAACCAATAAATGTAATACACACAAGGGTAAGTTATAACATAATATGTATAGGTACCATAATACTATAATAATGCCTCTATTTCAAAAATCTTATTTTGAAAACGCTGTCACAAAATTTAATAATATACAGTTATTTTAAACTTGTCTAACGATAATTAGTTATTATATTATGGTAATTAGAACGACCATTTTTTTTTAGGTTTTTAATAAGACGACAAGACAGCCGCAATTACAATAGCCTGTCAAGTTTAAGTAGTTATAATAATGTTCTAATTGGGACAATTACTTTTTCGGTTCTTAACATTATACGTAGAACATAAATTTAATATTTTAACACTATTGCAATTCTTATATAAATTATACCAATACAAAAATATAATTAACTTTTAACAACAAGTTATAACTTTCATAATAATACGAGTGCTGTAAAGAAAAATAATTGAATCTCGAGTCCAATAACCTTATTGGTATAGACCAGGGGTAAAAAGATTCATTACTTTAACCCGGAAGACTTAAGTTTTAGTATAGAAACTTGTCATATTTTTTATCCTTACCCATTCTCATAATATTATGATGCACTTGTTTAGTGTTCTTAGCAAAATCTTATTTTTATAACACTGTCAGAAAAGTTAATACAGTTATTTTAAACTTGTTTGACAGTAATTATTAGTCATTACTTTATGGCACCAGTTTAATTAGAACGTCCATTTTATAAGATACATCCTTCGATGTTTTTTTTTTTAAAGAAAAAACGTTTAAGTAATTAAATTAATTTTAATCAGAATTTTTTCCTACCAATCCAGACTATTTTTCTCGAGACTTTTTTTCCTTTGACTATTTTTTCTGTAAAATTCTGTACAGGTATATGATTTAGTTTTAGTTTTTATCTTAATGTTTTTATGTATTATATTGTATAGAATATATTTTTATAGACAAAATCGCTTCGAATAAAATCTAAATCGCAAGTTATATTTTGAAGACTAGTATTGTGTAATTAAAAATGAGCTTTGTAATTTATCCAAAAATAAACGATTGCAAAGTTAAAATTGGGTTTCGCCCATCATGGTCAATATTCTTATGTTAAAAAATATTTAATTAAAAAACTTTCAAGTGTGCTGTAGCCTGTAGGTCAACTATTGTGTAACTTCAGCACAATACATTATGCATAAGTACTTTTTTTTTTAATAACATTTAATAACGCATTTTACAATATTTCATACTATGTGCTGTATACGCTTTACAAACATTGTCCACGTTATGTTATATTTAATTACTAGGTAATGAAATAATATAACTACAAAAATAAATTTTAATGAAATTAAAGTGGTTTACATGTCTACAACAACTGTTCTTTCGTACTATACGCATCAACATTATAATAATATTTAAGTACCTAATACTAGTCTACATTTCTACAATATGCTTCAGTGTAATGTAAAATATACAAAAACACTAAATTGAATGAAGAAAATTTTTTTTAATTTATTCAACAATTAAAATAATTATATTACTTAACAATATTAATAACCTATATATTGTATAATATAATATACATACTTTACGCATGTGAACAAGTTGGTAAACTAGATAGGATAGTTATAAATAAGACAAAACTAATTTGATTAGTTTTATCTAAAATTGAAATAAGTTTTACAAACAAAATAATATGTCTGCTTTGTATTCTAAACTTCAACTATTATTATTTATTTATATGTAAAGTATGTACTTTTCTTCTCCCCATTAGAATTCAAAAACTTTTTCAGCAATAGACAAGAAGTCTTGGCAAACACACACGTACCATGTCTTTGTATTATTATTATTATGACAATCATAATAAACTCTATTCAAAAAATATTTCACTCGATTTCAGCTGAAGTGAACCAAAAAAATTGGTCAACTTTTTCAACTACAATGGTTTAATAATTTAAATAGTATTTTGTAATAATTCGTATGAAACGTACTTGAATGTATCATAAATTATTCCGCACATAATAACACAATTTATATTATTATTTATCATTTTTAAAGTAGGTGGATAAGAATTACATAAATCAGTAATTACGACATTTATTTTAAATTTTATTTAAAAATCGATAAAACAAAAAACTAAATAACATAAAAAAAAATATTAGTTATATTGACGAAAATAATTTAATATTTTGTACTTTTGTTCTTTCGGCGTACTTTGATGAATTTAGTACATAGTGTAATATTGACTGATTGATTTCCTTTGATGTATTGATGACACGGGAAATTTAATGCTTTACTTGCAAATACTATGAACTTGATTATAATAACAGTATTATGTTTTAATTAATCTGAATAAAGAGGAAATATATTATGTTCAAGTTCAACGTAATAAAGGATGTAATAAAGGTACGGACAAAAAAAAAATGTAAAACGTCTGTCTTCCAATTATTAAAAAACAATACAAACCGAAATTGTTATCTATATAATTTATTCGATTGAGCTGTCACGTGTTGTGCGTTTGTCAAAGTCTCATATAATAATCACAGTGACCTACCTACCGGTATACCATGCTCGTACCTACGACTATTTTGTTACCTATATATTCGTCACCGTTTCGTTTTATCATAATAATTTATTCGGTTTGTCGCATATAATATTGTCCCTGCTATTACGCCATCGCATAATACTATTACAGTGTCCCCCTATAGTACGTCTATAAGAAAACCCGTACGGTAACTGTCGTCAGCGGTTCTCTATATAATTGTACCGAACAGACCAAATCCTAATCAATTATTGTGTTTTATTGTTGTGATTGCAGACACTTCGTTAGTAATCGCTCCACCGCCGCCGATAATTACACACACGGCGGCCACACCGCAAGACTCGCCAAATGCCGCCCACGAATCGAGGGATTTTCGGCGATTTCAATCACTCACTCCGTATACATTTTTGCCGTTCGACACGAATGGAAGCGGATTTTCCATTGATTCGATCGACTGTTCAGTGGTTCGTAAAATGCTCGTCGCGTATGATAGTAGCGCGGCGCCACTTATTATTATAGTGACCTTAACCGTTAAAGATTAAAACAATATCACCCGATAATAATATTATTAAGGGAGTACAAAATATAATATTAGTGTACGAACGAAAATCTATTTTGACGATTTCAATTTAATTGTATTCAGTGAATACAATTGAATACTATCAGTTGACTACTCAAAAATTTATGACAAATCGTTTATGCGTAGTAAAATAAAATACATAGGTACACTGGAAATTATGTCTCATTGAGCTTTCATTCTTTTTTTTATTTTTTTTTTTTTACTTTTGAAGTATAAATAATAATATTATTAAAACATTATGAAACACTTACAATGTCTACTTCAACAGTGTCACCCTATTTATTGATTTAAAATGTATTTATTGCTCGAATAGTTAAATGTAATGTTATACGAATGATATATTTTATGAAAAAAAATTACAATACCTATATATAACGTAACAGATATTATAATGGGTTGGCTATCTGGTGACTTTAAATATAATACCGGTGATAAATCATCACATTTGAAAAACTTTTCAAAGCAAACCTTGGTTAAGATTCGTCCTATCTGAATACAAAAACTATAAACTGTGTAAACAAAATTAAATAAAATCATACACAATGAGATATGAATATATTTAAATTAAAATTTGAAGTAATTTAATACACTAACGATCAGATTAAATGTGTATCCATTTATCAAGACCACGTTAATTTATTGTTGATTTATAGATTAAAATCCGTCGGTTTTTCCCATAAAACAGACCGGAAACCCATTTATTTTACCTATATGAAAATGGAAATCTTTTAACATGATAAATTATTAATATAATATTATATTTGTTGTGTATTATGTTTAATAGCGTTCGTCAACAAATAGCTTGCAGAGTGTTTCAAAGTTTCCTAAGATCAACAACAGAACTCCGCAGATATCCAGTCCGCAAAAGTTGGTAGCGAATCAAAGTTTTGAAACGATTCCGGAAGACGTTTCTTACAGGTAAATATAATCTAAACACAAGTAGGTACGTTTAACTAGTATTCGTCAAAACATACTTTTCCCTACCTATTCGATAGTGTTTTAAGTAGGTTTGAAATATATTATATTAAGTTTAAAAAGAAAATTAATTAAGTTCGGAAGTCACTCGTGGCATAAGTTTAACTTCGTTCATGTGATTATGAATCATTGCGCTCGAACGTACCACATACAATAATATCATAATAGTATAATTAATCACACTTGTTATTTTAATATTTAAAGCATAAAAGAGTTACATTTTTAGGTTTTTATCTTTGAGAAATATTATTATTTAAAAGTGAAAGTTTGGCCTTGTATGCACCCTACTTTATAGTTTATTCCCCGGTGGTTCTTTACACAAAGGGCAATTTTTATGATGAATGGGGGTCCTGAGAGTTACATTCTAAAAACAATGGACAATACAGAACTTCTATCTTTTGAAAAATCGTGAATACATCTTGAAGTAAATTAAATTTATAAGGGGTGTTTTGAAACGTAACATTTTCGTGCAAGTGCATAATAATAATAATATAATATTATGGAAAAAAAAACGTCCGAAATATTTTTCAGTTTTTATAGATGCCACCCAAGTATAATATTAATATATCGGTGCCGAATCAATATTTAAAAGTTTGAAAAATATCATATTTAGTTTCGTGAGACGTCGACAACTTTAGTGAATCTATAAAAAAAAATTGTTCGTTGTTTTATCTGCGAGTTGGTCATTTTTGTATACATGTGCTGAATACGATATCTTTATACTTTAATATTTCGTCACCACTTGCCGTAATTATAAACATATTTACCTACCCATTTACGAGTGAGAGTTTAATAAATAAACACATGTGTGGTGTATACGTCTTATAATGTGCGCCCTGCTTACACTCATGTGTTGTATAATATATTTTTTATTTTGTTTTACTTTACGACCCTTTTTGATGTGCGACTCACACGACGTGTAACGTAATACGTGCACAATGTGTGTGCAATGGTAAACGTACCTTGCTGACCGCGAGAAACCGCGCAAACACTCTATAATATAGCACTTAATGTTTTATATATATTATAAAAAAAAATAATAATAAATACATGTTTACAGTGGAGAAAATGGTGAAAAACTTCAAAGACGATATTCGTGGAAAATCTCGAGACCCTCGTTGAGACGAAAGTCGAAATTCAGCAACGCAGAGTGTGAAAGTGACGATCAAGGAATACTGGTTGTGAACAACAACAATAGTCATCCGGCAGTGAACTCCGGGTAAAAAAACGATAAAATAATTCATACCTACCACATAAATATAGTATGTGTGAGAAATATGAAAGAAAAAAAAAATATTATATCATAATATCAATATGCTTCAGCGGAAACGTTTCCGGTACATATAATATTTTATTGTTATTAATGTTGTAAGTGTTTTTTTTCGTATATTTAGTGCCGGACAAGACCACTCTCAATGCAACGGCGGCGTTTCCAAAAGTCCATCGCCGAATTTCCGGGCGGCCAACAATATGTTGTCCGAATATAATACTATTGAAAGGTCTCCGTCGACTGTACAGCAGGTAATCAATTTGAAATGCAAATATTTACCCAAGAAACCTGCTTCAAGCTTCGAACATTAAAAATTTATCTGGTTTAAAATTATATTATTATAATTTTAATCTCAAGAATAAATAAATCCCACGCAAAACATCTATTAATCATACATTTTTGTCGCTAAAAAATGCAAAAATGCAAAAATAAACAATGTTTATTCAAATGCTTTTAAAAAAAAATAAAAATAATTTAACGTTTATTACATTCCATCGAGTGTACAATATTCATGTTTTATTTCGAACGAATTTGTATGATACATGAAAGAGTTTTAAAAGTAATATTTTTATTCTTCCCTTTAGCGTTAACCAAAAAAATCCATTAGGTTTCTACTGTTAAAGTCCATCACACTTCTCTGAAAATTTAGACCAATAATAATTTATGGTACAACACACAAACTGTCTGAATATTTTTTTATAAAATAGTTATATTTTGGAGAATTATTTCTTATTTGGTTTATAACTTAACATATCCATTAAACTAATTCCAACTACATCAAACTATTTATTATCCCCTTTTAATCGTAATTTTTCAAGAAGGAAAACCCATCACGAAATAATAATCATTTTTTTTATAAAACGGCATTTTTTGAGAAAATAAGGAAGGTTATATCAAGCATTCGTTTGTAAAATTCAAATTTTTTAGTCGAAAAATAAAAAAGTTACCGATCGTGTGACGAATTTCAAAAAAAAATTTTCAAGGCCAAAATAATTTTAAGATACAAAAATATTTTTTAGAATATTAATCCCAAAGGATATTTACCCCGAAAAATATCTTTATGCCATGAATGAAAAATCAAGAATAATTTATTTACCTACCTACTTGTATAAATTAAAATTAAATATTTTTTAAATATGAGGCATATAGTAAAAAAATATAATACCTACTGTTATTGAGGTTTAACTTATATTATATTCTATTGTTACTGTGGTGCGTGGTGACTAGAGGTGGTTGGTGCTGATAGGGGGGAGCTGGAATGGGCTATGTGATAAACTTTGAAATCTAATTTACCATCCCCCACATTGAAAAATCCTGAGTACGCCACTGGTTTATGAAATTATAATAATATAATCCCAGGTTTAAATGTATTAAACCGGCTTTGACCATATAGACAATATCAATATCAGATATTAATTGTGATTGAAAGTCATATTATATTGGTAGTCACATAAACAGCAGACGTGTTTACATTTAATTAAGAACATAATAGATCATTACTCTTCAAAACATTAACGTTCGGGTCGATTGAACGATAATAATTCGACACAGGATATCTATAGTATCCTGGCAGCAACGTTATATATTGCATATTATTCGCATCGTGGTATACCTATAACTCGATTTCGGGTAGTACTAATATAATATTATTATAGATATGAATATGTTAAACGTATAATATTATTATGCACCGTCAAAATAGAGGTAATAATCCTCACCGTAAAATAATTAACTAGATATACTCACTCGATTCTTTTGATTTTTCAAACATCAGAGGTACCAGAATTCCTTTTACTCGCAGTTGGTTTTACCTTTACAATAATATATCATCTGGTTTCAATATCAAAAAATTGAATATTTCTAAAGTCTTGAAAATTCAGATCTCGAATTTCGTTTGTACGCCTTCGCCCGGGTGATAAAATTTTATATTTGCAACAGTACAGTGTGCGTTTTTTAAACGAAACGTTTGCTCCCAGTGCTATAAACTTCTGTATACCTATATATAGTGTTGAGTATGACGCACATATTACTGCGGTGCGAGAATCTTGCAATATCTCCACATCTTCCAAAAATATAATATGCAGGGTAATATCGTCATGACCGTTAGTAAATCTTTTCGTTAGATTTAAACGATTCGTCCGAAAATGTTGCGCGCTGGTTTCCGGAGCGGATTAAAAATGATCGCTTGCGGGGAATGCCAATGCAATCGTCGACAAATTGTGCAGACCAAATTTTCGGGACGGAGAAAATGAACCCGCGACGGGGTCTAGAGAAACAGTGTATATAGAAACATCCCCGCTCGAGTAGCCACCCGCTACACACTGTATATACGACAGTGGCTATAATATATAATGTGTATACACTGTGAGTCGGAATTAAACGTACCGCGAAATGACGTAACGTCACGTCGTATACGTAACGGCGCCACTTTGATGGTGTGCGTTGCCGCCGGAGAGAAGGGAGAAAAACAACACGACCCGGCAAAGTTTTCGAAATTTAATATTATTGTCATCACTACGACTGTATATGTATATGTATATATACTGCTTCGAAGGATTATTTACACCACCGACCTCGGCGCCGACAATTCGCGCGTACGTGACGCGAACACGACGTGTCTCGGGAAAAGGTCCGAAAAGGTCCCCCGACGACGTATCCGTTGCGTTTCGATAAAGGAATATAAGACCCCGTCAGATGCTATCACGACGACATAATAATAATGAAGCACTGTCAATGCGTCTCTTGGTATTATATCTGTACGTCCCTCGATATCGCACGATTATCTAAGCCTTTGAAATATAGAATATTATAATAATGTATAGAAAGCGGTTTCAAGACTAAATAATTATCATAGTGTTGGACTAACTCACAGAAACTTCGAGAGATCCAAGCGCGCCAACCGTTGCGCATACATCACCGAAGTGTCAAACGTTGGGGCGGCAATCTAGGGGAGCTTAGCACGTGAAAAGTCTTCAAAGCCCCCTCAAAATAAATGAAAAACTAGTTTTAATATTTTCTTGGGGCTTTTACGCATTTATATACTTTGTGAGGATGATTACTCTTATGATTAAAAATCCGAAAACCCACAAACCAAAACCACTACAACTGTTGATTGCTATACGACACAACACTATACCACCGCGGCTGTTAAATTATTGAGATATAATATATCTGTAAAACAAAAGCACAAGTATTTTTGTGATGTTATCAGTTGTTTTCTAACATAATTTGTAGCTACGGGTTTTCGAATAAAGTGAAAATAATATTTTAAAATGTTTTTAGTCCTTTTCCGCCAACAATGGACGTTCCAATTAATTAATTGTCCCTATATCACCATATAAAAACACTCTACTTTTTCGTCTCTTGTACCTATATAATATCGGCTGTAGTCAATGTGTGCCAAAATTGACCAAAAATATATAGGTACAATACATAATATGTGTAAGTGCACAAAAAATTTTTAAAACCGTTCTTATTTGCACCAAAACTAAAATCGATTATTCTTTCGATGGTAAGATTATGAAAAGATATAATGTTATCGATATGGTAGAAGCTAATGAGTAATGACACGGGATATTCCATTTTATAATCCTAGTGGTTATTTAACTAGTATATTCGCACCTTTATACGGTACGTCAGTGTTGGCTTTAAAGCTACCTACCTAGGTAATAACGATAACACTGTAATGATATGAAAGACATAATATCATTTAATAAATGCGTTTTTTTTTTTCAAAAACAAATAATTTCAATACCATGTAATAACGCAATATGAAGGTTTGCAACTATTAGGCGAAGTGAGGTGAAAAATTATCATTGTCATTCGGGTCTACCGAGTGTATCACAAACACTATTTTAGGCTGCCTACAGCGGCTCGGTGCGAATTCCGTGTCTTTATTTTGGTGCAAATTACAATAACTCCCGATTCCCATACATATACGTATGTATATATAATACCTCAGGTATATAATATGTACTGCAGGTAATAATAACATGACGTAGGTATAGCTATATTATATCGTCAGGCCGACTTCGTTGGAATTATTGATTTATTCTCTTCGTTCCAGAGCACGGTCAATTACGTCCTGGCCGGTTGTCAGTACGACTGCTGTCAACCGTGCGACACGGAAGGGTGCGCCGGGACCACGGACGACAAGGCATCCGAACCGTGTTGCGACTGCGACGCCGAGTCGGAAACGGCCAAGGTGAACGTCCGCAAGTTGTTCTATTTCTTCGAGGAGAAGGGTTGGCTCAAGGACCGGGCCGAGTACTCGCTGTACATATTTCCGCCGGAACACGGGTAAGCCGGAAACACACGAGCGGTGCGCAGCTCGGGTCACACGTAACGCGCCGTTGCTGTTTATACTTATTTATATTATAATGCATGTGACATTGAGACATATATGATACACGTCTTGTACGCGTTACACCACGACTGTTTTGGAGATGGCCACCCCGGGGTGGGGGGAGATTACCCCTTATTTTTCAAAAATATTTCAGCCCATCCCATTATTACTCCCTGATCAATTAGTATAATTAAAATCTTCGGTTGAGCACATTTTTTTATAATTTCGCATCCCCTGCAATTTTTTTTTTCAAATTCAAACACCGATTGTGTCACACGCTCGTACCGCACGTACAATACCGTGTGTGATGTGTTTTCTACGATATAACCTACGCAGTGCGTCCGTAGACAATTTGGAAACTCTGTATAACGGCTGTGGTTTCAGAACGAGGAGATTAAGATAACGTGCAACCGTTATAGATTAATATGACAATATTATCGCAGCAAGTTTGATTGACGAGGGATTAAATGACGGCTCCGATCCAGATAGTATATTTATTAGGCGTTTTGGGGTGGATTTAATAAATTATAAAAGTATATTATTAAGTACTGTGGAATATAGGTATGTCATGCTATGCATATATTTTATTTACACTTAAAAGAAATAAAGCTTTAAAAAATACTATTTTAAAAAAACTTGTTAATTGGAAGATCCACTTTTTACTATGTCGGTATGGGTAAATATAATAATAATATAAGTACCAAGGAAAACAATATTAAAAGGTATTGGATTCAAATTCTAAATAATTATCGAAATATAATAGAAGTTAACCAATAGTTCTACTATTAAACAATATAGGTATAAAGTACCTAATCGTCCTAATCATTTTATTTTAGTTGTTTGACATAAATTTGATAATACAAGATACCTATTCTAAATAATTATAATGATTTAAAGTTATTAGGTGCAATGAATTTTTTTACTGTAATACAATAATATTACAATAATTTGCACATGCACATATACTTACATAAATCTTTTTTTTAATGGAAGAGTCATCGCTTCCGTGTTCCCTGTATCCTACGACTAGGCACGCCGATGTTTACTTTTTTCTCATTAAACAACCAGGAAAACAGGAAATCACTAGTAGTTAGTTGTAATAGGTTTACAGTCAAACGTAGTACATATCGCCACTTCATGTTACGAAGCAATCGGTCATTATACATTTTACTATATCTTTTTGTGATTGACAAATTATTTTATAGTACGACCACGCTATAAATTATAATAATAATATACTATCACGGTCTTCGCAATCATGTCTTATGCCCGCCATTTAAATTTACTGTTCCTAGACATCATTCCGTACGTATTTTAATACATCTGAATTGCTCACTATTTAGTGTCTCTCTTTCTCTCTCGTCTGTTTTAGATTCGTACGACAATGTCGCAACGCTAAGCGCATGTATGGTAATAATAACGAAATTACAACATACAATTAATATTATTATCATCATGCTCGCACACGTACGAGCCTAAGCCTTAAACCCGACTCGACGTGCAATCATAATAACATGAACTGCAGTCGTATTATACTGTGTGCTATCATATTATGCACTTTTACAATTTCAAACGTGTCTCGAAAATATGGAACATCGTGACGTATATTATTATTACGTCCGTCGTGTATAAGATTTCGAAATCGGACATCATTCCAATAATATTATAGCGCTGCAGCTGTTGTACAATAATATCACGGTAATTTTAATAAACGCGTCTCTTTCAATTTCTTCAAAGGCCAAAGGGTCGCCCACACGACTTTTGGCCGATGACCCTTTGTGCAGTGCAACTTCGTAGGAGTTCGTGCGTAGTACGTAGAAACGGTCAGAGTATCTATAAAGTCGTCCTGGACAATAATTACCTGTCTGTAACAGCTATTATTACTACCTATTCTTTTGTCCGGCGATTATCCTCCGCCCTGTGCGCTTGTACTCCATATGAAACGTTAAGTATATACATATTATATGTATATGTATATACCTACACACGCAGTATACATATACAGTTGGTGATGGGTCCTTTGGCGAGCAACAAACACAACGGACCGACGGAGGAAATGAGTTTTCATGTATAGTGCTCCCGTACTAAGTATAATAATGATGATAATATAGTAATAATAATGTATAAACATCCTGCAGCAGCATATTATTATTGACCACCGATGTCCGTTAAAAAAAATAACTGTGCGCCGGCGGCCCGCCACGCCACGCGACGACTCGCGAATAGAAAATTCCATACAATATTCATAAGTTAATCTTCCCGACCCCCCTCGGGAACGGATTTAAAAACAAACAGTGTGCTGAAATAATTATAAGGGTGTTTTATGCGTGCGTATAGCGAATATGACGGCAGGGGTGAGTGTGGGGGGGATTGGAGGAGTGCCTCGTGTGATGAAATTCTCGAATTTATAAATAAATTTCACTGCTACCTGCGGCGCGAGCGCCGATATTATTTTGTTTCGTGTAAATTAACCCAGCCCAATACGGTGACGTGTCCTATCCGACGACGGGGAGATTTGCATAATTGCCGGCAGGCCTTTGACCGATAACACTGCGTATACGCACTCGAAACCACAATTATACAAAGCCACGTGTGTTTAGTACCTAATTACCGATATTATACCATTATAATAATTCAGAACACTGTATACCGTACTCGACCAGTTCTGGTCATAGGAAGTCGGCCACTCTCCAATCAAGTATACCTAACCTGAAATATAAATCACAACTAACACACACGCTGCATCACGCACGTATAATATTATGCGAAACACATTTTGAGTACAGAGGGTGATTGCACATTTAATAGGGAACCAAAAAATGTCTCAAGAAAAAAAAATGAGGAATTTTCTCTTCGACCTCCAGTACTGACGATGGGTGTTACACGCGGTCCATAATATCTAATACGGTGCCGTGATAATTAATATGGAGTGAATAATGATAAATCGGGCAATCATGAACTATAATAAATTAATAACTATAACTAACTCGACCTAACCTAACCTAACCTGTGGGATAACTGCGACTATAAAATATATATATTATATTTTGATACGAGTTAATATTATAACGTTAGTTTTAATATATTATGACGATAAGGACAGTGATAAATTGATGGCGGTTTAGTGCTCACCTCGGTAGATTTCACAAAGTCTGAAAAAATATTATTGTGTGCTAATATTATAAGTATTGATTAAAATGTACACTATATAGGAACGTGCTATTGATTGTGTAGTTTGATAATTAAGTATTTCTGATATTACACAGAAATACATTTTAAAAAAAACCACCAAGACCCCTGCAATACCTAGAAAAAATAAAATGTAGACAGTACCAATCTGTTTTACAATATTCTCGCAAAATTCAAAAAATATAAAACAAAGTTTAAATATAACTTTGAAATCAACTTATTTTGTGCTATTGTGGTTTCTTGATATCAATCAATAAGTTATTTTCAGTTGGTTGATAATATATTACATCTATCACGTTATGTCGTTATTCGTTTGTTGTACCTACGTCATTCATATATAGTATCCAATATCCATATAATAAAGACGCCAACTATTTATATCTAACTAAACCCGTGTCTGAAATTTGAATTTTGTTGTTTTTGGTGAATTAGATCAATACAAATGATGAGATAATAAATTTAAGTTGTATCAAGAAATAAAAAGACCTGAAATTATTAAATCGATGAAGACAATAAGATTTATTAAGAGTTGAAAAAAATTATCAAATTATATTGCACTTATAATAGCATTTTAACTTTTTTTTATCGACCTTATGAAAATAACTTATACAGACTTTTCCATTATCCATTTATCCATTATAATTTTGTTTTTTTTCCCAATTTTTAACTATGTACTTAACTTCACGGTTGATTTATCGTGCTTAAAATTATCTCAAATCTCTACGCATGATGTTCATATTCACATAATAATATGTAAATTGTATCTGATTGTATAGGTACTATAAATTGAACTAAGTATACAATTCGACAATAATTAAGTAGGTATCTTTATAATAAGGCTGTTAGTTCTCACAGTTCCCAAATCAATCAAAAATTGTAAGATAGCCCTACCCCACCAAAAAAAACCTGCCAATTAACTTCTACAGTACTGACCTATATATCATATATTATACATTATTGTATTTCAAATACATTTATTTTTTGTGTTTCGTTATCCGTCGTCATCCCGATCATGGCTCAAATATATACAATGTTATTGCAATAGTACCCCCACTATATGATTAGGTTATGTTAGGACCTATACTATATGATATGGACCGTACCCTTACTCTGCCATTTTATTTTTGTTTGATAACAATATGGTCTGTGTGCAATAACATTGCTGTATATTCAAACCATGATCCCAATGCCAAGTGCCCCCCAGGTCTCAAAAACGAAAAACGTTAATCATTATTCCTCGACGGAACCCGGTTCACAATAAAAACAAAAATAAAATCGTCTTACACTCTTACGTGTACTCGCTCATATATACCGACGGCTCTCGTCGTGTGTGTAATCAAGTTTCAGGCAATCGTGTGGAAAGTTCATCAAACAAAAATGGTTCGACAACGCGGTGCTTACGTTTATAGCGCTGAACTGCATCACTTTGGCCATGGAAAGACCGAACATACCGCCGGACAGCAAAGAGAGGACGTTTTTGGGCACGGCCAATTACGTTTTCACCGTGGTGTTTGCGCTCGAGATGTTTGTCAAAGTAAAATTGCCCTCTTTTCGGATTACAATTTTGTTTGCCGACCTAATCCGATTGCGTCCGTTGTAGGTATTAATATTATTACCGTTTGTTTTTTTTTTCTGTTTCTCCTCCACACAGGTCGTGGCCGCTGGCATGTTCTACGGCACCGAACCGTATTTCAAGTCCGGTTGGAACATCATGGACGGACTGCTCGTGGTCGTGTCCATCATAGATCTGCTCATGTCAGTGATCTCCGAGAGCAGCCCAAAGATATTTGGAATACTGAGGGTGAGCATATACATTATACATATACGATTTACAGCGCTGCCGGCATAGACGATGATGTGACCGATATTTGCATATTATTATATTTTTTATCATACGACTGTGGTAGGTATAATGTCTATACTCGGGGGTGGATTAGCCCCCAGGTAGCACCCCAGGCCCCCATTCATATTAATTATGATCCGATTACCCTTTCTTCGATGGCCCTTTCTTAAATGTTTACTCTTATTAAGACGAAGGTACCTACAGAGAATAATATTTCTTAATTTTTGTAAGTTTAAAAGAAAATATACTGGACCCTAATTAATTTTTCTCCCTTTACCAAAAATAGACAGTCCACCCCTGTCTAGAGTACCTAGGTACCTATGTGTTTGTCGTATAATATGAAAAAGTCACGTGGCCGTTGTCGTAAATGTGAAATAGAACTACGTTTATCGAACGGTTTCTCGTATTTTCGAAATCTAAGAAACGCCTTGCACGTTTCAATTATTATTATTATTATCTCTCTCTCTCTCTCTCTCTCTGTTGTATTATATAATTTAATAATGTTACGTAATATTTTACAGAATTAGATTTTTTTTTTTTGACAAAGTCATAATACCGTGTAATCAAAACGAGTTAACTATTCTGTTCGCAGGTGTTTAGACTGTTAAGATCGCTGAGGCCGTTGAGAGTGATCAACAGAGCCCCGGGCCTGAAATTAGTGGTACAGACACTGCTTTCGTCATTGAGGCCAATAGGCAACATTGTACTGATTTGTTGTACATTTTTCATAATTTTCGGTATTTTAGGAGTTCAAGTGAGTATATTATTATTGTTATAAAATAGATAACTTTTGTTGAAACTTGTTATACAACCTTTTGAATGCACGGTTGTCAGGCAATGAATGTATTATGAAAATGCGTTTTATTTCAATTTGTTTTTCGTTGTATAAATTATTGTAAAAAAAAAATTTTTAAAAATGCTTCTTAACAAAAGTAACTAAAATTTTAATTTAAATAGTCTATTATACTTTAACCTTTAAGCTTTAACCATTGTTAATATTAACACTAATTTATTATAAAGGGGACAGTTTATCTTTAGTAAAGTTTTAGACCTAAAAGGTAGAAATAAATTGGACCTTTTAGAATTAACCTAATACCATTCTGAGAGAGGATTTAAATTTATTAAAATCTTTCCCAGATTTTGAGGAAACCAGTTTTTGTTTTTGATATTATAATTTGAATATTTCTAAGAATTTGAATTTTTATGTTATCAAATTTAAAAAAAAAATTCAACATTCAAACCAAATCAACTAGGTACACAATAAGCTGGTAAAAAATCTGATAAACTTTCATTTTTTCAAAATCAATTTACATTCTAAATAGATAGGTACTTACCCCAAATTTGATTTAATAACAAACAAACAAAAAATTATATACGTTTACTTATGCAGATATACAACTCTATGCTGATGAATTGATTTTCAATTAGCGGTTGCATAATATTGTATAATAACATTTACAAAGAACGATTGTGATGGGTGCCAGAGCATATCCACATTTTCGACTTTAATTATGCATTTATTCAAATTCGGACTTTTTGGTTTACTTAAAGACCATATTTACAATAATTTACTTACTTAGATTTGTTATTCCATTCAAGGGGTATCCCGTGAATCGTGATACAAACTTCATATTTTAATATAATAACCACCATGTTTTACTATCAACAAGATGATATTTTTGAACTTTTTTTTAATGTATCCAAATCAAAATATTTATTCAAATGATTAGTTTCTGAATTATTAAATTTTACATAGTATAACAAGAAGACCTGACAAATGAAATAAAACTTTTGTGCTATTGAATATTATTTTATTTTTTTTTTTTTTTTTTAATTTGACAGACGCTTGCGTTACATGAATAGTGTACCATTTTTATTTTTATTTTCTACACTGAAATTAAATTTAAATTATTACTAAATCTGATATAAATGTTTTTTGAAAACTTTTTAGAATAATTTTTACTGTAGAAAACATTTATAACGCATGTAGTTTATTTATTTTAATGTTTAAGTACCTCAAGTTGATCCAACCGTAAAAAAATATTTTAAATTCAAAAAGTATAAACTTTTTAAAGTATTTTATGAGAAATTTTAAATAGGTGCTTGCTAAAATATAAATATTTTTTTAAAAAGTTATTAGTATTTAAATAAATGAGTCAAACTACAAAAAAGATTTGATATTTTATAAAACATAAAAATAAGCCACTTGACTTAGATAAATGTTTTACAGTAAGAATTATTCTAAAAATTAGTTTTACATATTCGCTATATCGAAATTAAAAAAAAAAACATTTTAATCAGATATATTTTTTTTTCATTTTTAGTACCTACTCAAAAAAAAAATTAAATGTTATATTATACGTATTGCACACGACACGATAAATTAAATAAAAAAAAAAAATTTTTAAATATTGATTACCTATATTATATTATATAAAGTTATTTCATTTGTCAGTCGTTACTGTAACAACCTGGTTATAATTTAATGTATAGTAATAAAGTATATACTAAGGATAATAGACCATAAAAATTAATTTACAAAAATAAAAATAGATTTCTTATTCGATCTAGTATTAATAAATACCAAAATTATAATATTACTCAAACAATTGTTACAAATTATATACCGTTGATTATAATATTACTTTGACTATCAAATCATTATATGGACCTACTAAACTTACCTACTACGGCACTACGCAATTTTTAAGAAGTACGAAAAATATAGGAACTTTATGTGTTAGCCTCTGGACGGAATAATACAAGTTTGGTATTAATTGGTAACCAATACAACACTAATTAGTCATTCAGAGTTGTGACTCCACTGTTAACGTCGGCGCATACTAAATCAGTAACCTTCATGTCTGATTAAATAAATAAGTTAAAATAACTCGACGACACGGTATATAATCTGATGCGACTCCGCCGTGGCCTTTTGCAAATTAACTTCGTTTTGTACCACGGCTATCTACCGTAATAGAGATAGAGAGCAGATAACCGTGGTTTGTACCTATATTAAATCAAAATATCTGACGTCGAGTTTACTCGCGTTACAAAATATTAATAATATAGATTGCGTGTGCAGGTGGTCGTATCTTAATAGTCGTGTTACACGAGCCAAAACCTAATGGAGTGTTATGTCGTAGGTACTAGCGGAAATTTCGTGCGTCATAATGTAGTGCCATATATATATTATAGTAGTCACCTGCCTAGTGTGTTAATTGTGTAAAATGCATTAATTAATAGATAGGTTAGCATGATCAAAGTCGCGTAAACACCATAACTATAAAATAACACTGTCGATTATGTGTTAAACCGATTAATTAAATTTTTGCGAAGCACTCTCTCGATATTATGTTCTTAACGTTTAACACCGACGGCAAAATTAACCTTGCACGAAAAATCAAAAAAAACTAACAACCTTTTTCAGTGAATAAAACGTTAAATGACTTAGTAGATATAAATGAAATGTGCAATAAAAATCGCTTCCGATTAATACGTCATATCGACGTATCGGCTCCATTAAAACTATAAATCTAAAGCTCCTATTACATCAACACTTATAAATACTCGATCCCCCTCCTATACCACCCAAGTACCAAACAGATCCAATTTGCCACCATAAATCACCCTTGAAGTTGAAAAATAAATACACGTCGTTGTAAATAACCAATACATTTATGGCTCAGCTCAGAATCTCAAATCAACTTGAATGTACACTATTTACTAACATAATATTAAACTGTTTCGCTTGTTCCTCGTTTTAATGCTCAACAGAGTAGTGTTACCAAATTAAAATTCTCCTTCTGAAAAATAAAATGTGAATATTTGTAAATATTTTATCAACCAACACAACCGCATGGGTTAGGTATGTAAAAAAAATAAGTTTGAAGTTCAAATGATTTTACACTGGGCTATTACATTTTTACCAGTACATTATAGGACCGGCGTTTTAATTAAATTACACGGCACTAAATACAACATAAATATAATGCGTCTATCTATGTATTCAACAAAAATATTCGATATACATTATATAAATGCACCCTTAAATTATTTTATAGTCAAGTGAAATCCTTAATGGAATGAACAATTCATTAACAGAATGTATGGTTTGATCAAGTGCACGGTGCACAACATATTTTTTAATTAATTAAAATAATTGGCATATCGGTGATTTTGATATTGCTGCTTATCGATGCATAGGTACACTTGATATTAAAAGTGTTCAAATTGTGTTATTGAGGTCAGCTATATAGTGTAGTACAAACATCAAGAGCCCATATACTGCCTGGTGCCATATACTGTGTGCTTCAGTTAAATACTAATTCAACACATCTCAACCGGATGACTATGATGAATTCTGTTAAAATGAAGATTTTTGATAAAGATAGAGGATACAAAAAAAATACACATTTCAGGTCAACTTTCAAAAATGTTACCCCGTCGGTGTGAGCAGGCGCAATAAAACTTGTATTTTTTTAAGTGATTACACATATCATCATAACCGAATTTAAATAGCCCTATTATTGTCAAGCAACTTTAATGAACAAACTTTTTTATCTCTACAATTGACTGACGTACTACAATTAAAAGTTTTCTTTTAAAATGGATTTTTAATGTGGGGATATTTAAATTTTTTTATGTGAAAAAAATATTACTTAAAACAATGAAAATAACAAAATTAAATGTCCGGTGACAAAAGCACATTAAATTAAATAATAACAAATAACAATACACATAGACTAAAAACTTACCATAAAACGTGTTTTGCATTTTTTTTTCAAACAAAAAAAACCAGTATTTGTCTAAACTTTAAACTTCTGTAAGTCAGTCAATTGTTCAGGTAGAACGTAGAAAAAAGTTTATTCATCAAAGAAGTTGTTATTGAAAAAATTGGTAGGTATATCTGAATTTTGTAATAATAATATATGTGCCATCATTTAAAATAATATAAGTATCATAACTCGAATGAGCATAGATACTGAAAGAGAAATAATTTTTAAAATTGGACGGAATTTGTGATTATAATATTATTACCTAGTATCCGTTATCCTCGTCAAAAATTTTCATTTCGATCTAAAGTCATCCACCGAAATATCAACGGTCCGTGTAATCGTTTAAGTGAAACACCTCGCGTATAGGCACTAGTTCAGTGCTATTAAAGTGATATTATCCGTTGACGTGAAAGGCCATTTCCAGTACATAATATTATAATAATTCGTATAAGAATAAAATCCGTCATTCTCGGCAAAACATCAAACCTTATCGTTTTGTGTCCCATACATAGCTTTTCAAAGGGACGTTTTTTCACTGCGAGGGACCTAACATCAAACACGTGCGCGACAAAAAGGAATGCCTGGCTGACAAGAAAAACGCATGGGTCAATCAAAAATACAACTTCGACGATCTGGGCAAGGCGTTGATGTCTCTGTTCGTGCTGTCGTCCAGAGACGGCTGGGTGAACATCATGTACACGGGCCTGGACGCCGTGGGAGTTGATCAACAAGTGCGTAAAATGAAATAAAATTATCTTTCCACGGCAGCAAGTCGTAGCTGTATCGTTACAAAGCGCATATTTCGTGGCACGTGAACTATGATAATAATTATTGCGTTATATGACGTAATAATAATATTATAATATTGTTGTTTTTGGTATTTTTCACTTGTTTATTTGTTTCACTCAGCCGATCGAAAACTATTCGGAATGGCGGCTGTTGTACTTTATATCGTTCATACTGCTAGTCGGGTTTTTCGTGCTCAACATGTTCGTCGGCGTGGTGGTGGAAAACTTTCACCGGTGCCGGGAGGAACAGGAAAAAGAAGAGCGAGTCCGGCGGCTGGCCAAACGGGCCAAGCAAATGGAAAAAAAGCGCAGAAGTAAGTTTCTGCCGGAAAACACCACTGCTACGATACGAAACATAACAGAGATAATTAAATGTACATTTATCCGTTGTTTCGTAATTATTATAGAAATGCACGAGCCACCGTATTACAGAGACTACAGCAGCGCCAGGCTGTTGGTGCACAGCGTAGTCACGTCCAAATATTTCGATTTGGCCATCGCTGCCGTTATCGGTCTCAACGTGGTCACGATGGCACTAGAATTTTACATGATGCCTAAAGTGAGTGTATTTGCAGAGTCGACGGATAAAATAATAATATTTGGAAAAGTTTTAGAGTTTTTCTCCCACCAGTGGCGGATACGAGGAGAGAGGGGCGTTAGCCACCCCCCCCCCCTTGGGCTGTCTTTTTAATGTTATTTTCCATTATAATATTTGACTAAACAAAAAGACAATTAAATTTTTGAAAATTCACCCCCCCCCCTTGGGTGACTTCTGGATATCCGCTACTGTTTCCCACTGTAGGTACACATACACTATATTATAATATTATGTTAGTGCACACATTCCACGTACCTACTGTACTTAAATGGTATCGACCCGTTTTTTTTCTTTTTGTTTCACGCGTACAAACTGTATATTTGTAAATATGTACTTGAAAAAAAATAACCCGACGAGTATTCACCCCATTTTTTTTTTCAGGCGTTGACTTATGCGTTGAAAATATTCAATTATTTTTTCACCGCCGTGTTCATACTGGAGTGCGTGATGAAAATGTTGGCGCTGGGACTTCAGCTCTACGTGAAGGACAAGTACGTATACGCATTGTACAGCCTCACAAAAGGTGGTCGAGGAGAGGAGGGTTGACTTTGATTTTAATCTCACCCCATACGCTTTTACATCATAAATTTGTATTGATACGACGACGTCACATATTATTATTATTTATTTGTTTATTGCAGATGGAATATATTGGACATCGGAATCGTCATATTGTCCATAGTGGGTATCACGTTGGAAGAATTGGAATCGAAAATCATACCCATCAATCCGACCATCATCCGAGTGATGAGAGTCATGAGGATCGCTAGGGGTGCGTAAAAATTATGTTAAAATAGTAATCGCCGAACGGAGGTCAATATACGTAAAAAATATTATATTATACAGTTTACATAATATAATGCGTATACTTAGTAAATCCCTTATCACTATAATAAATAGTCAATTTATCGTTTATGTTGGAAGCATTTCATTTTTAGATGAGCGGGATGAATTTTTGCAGGTGGAGTCCTACCCTGAACATTTAGTTGACTATTCCGTTCATCTAAACTTAAAATATCTAAAAAAAAAAAAAATTATGATGATGATGATAAAAAAATAATAAGAATAGTATGCATTTTTTGTGATGAAGAAATCACATAAAATTCATTGGAATAAAAATACCAATTCACATGTAGACAATTACAACATTTTAGGCGATAAAAGAATCTCCTTGACCCTCATATGTTTAGTATATTTTGTATATGACATACATGTATATACATATATATACATGTATATATTGCCAGTATAAGTATGGATATTTCGTATAATTTAATTTTCACTCTTGCGGGTGTACAACTCCAACCTACCACCACATATCGACTACGCATCCACAAGTATATATATAAATATACGGCAATAATCTTCACGTGTGTGTGTGTGTGTATTAGGGTGGGTGATGGGTGGGGGGTGAGTTTTTAGTGTGTTTGCATACCTTAAAACAGCCAATTAGTGCAATAACGTTCGCTACGACCGCAATATCGGTATAGTAGGTGCCATGTATATAATATTAAGTATATGTGTGTTCGCCATGGAGAAACGTTTTAGTATAGGTAATACGCCAATAATATGCGCATGTGTTTTCGTTATGAAAATAAACATCGTTAACGCATTTCGTTATAACTTATAAGTGCCCTAGGTATTACTATTACGTGCAACGACTTTGGGAATTAAACGAAAATCGGATTTTCCTATCCTAAACATTCATAAATCAAGGAAATGGTGCCGGCGCTATACATGTGTGCACTGTTCATCTGTATATTATGGATATTACGAGAGCAACGACGAAATTTAAACGAATAAATGATAAATTTATTTGTTCGAAGAATACGAACGTTTAAATATTTTTCCCCGATTTTCGACAGTGTAAATGTGTTTGGGAATTACTGCATATTGTGCAAAACTTAAGTCATTTGTTTGACTTGGTCTAGTTTGTTTGGCCTGCTTATATTTAAAACTAAAGCCATCGGTACGTATTTAAAATAACGATAACCGCGCTTTTTAGTTGACCAAAGTACCGAATATTATGTGGATGCTCCATTCGAATTGTTTTCAATTGGTAAAAAAAAAAAAAATAACGTGGTAAATACGTAATTTGAGATTTTGAAAATAATTAGATGGATACTTAAACTTTTTACGAAAATATAAATATTTATTATACATGTCAGCAGAACTAAAAAATAATAACTTTTTCGTTAAAAAAAAAAATTTCATTAAAACTTGGAATCACATAATGTATACGATATTAAGTCTCTTGTTTTTAAGATAAAATCATAATACATATAATGTTGATATTATATGGTCATAAAAATAGTACATGACGTCATAAAATATGTACATAAAGAAAATTATTATCACTATTCTGTTGTACATACATAATATACGTATTATTGCTGTTATATTATTAAAGTATAATACTGTATAATAATAATAATTGTTGTGCCTTTTTTGTTTCAGTTTTAAAATTACTGAAAATGGCTAAAGGAATAAGAGCTCTTTTGGATACCGTAATGCAAGCATTACCTCAAGTGGGAAATTTAGGACTCCTGTTTTTTCTATTGTTCTTCATATTCGCCGCATTGGGTGTGGAATTGTTTGGAAGACTTGGTAAGCTCATTGAATAATTATCGCATTGTCATAACGTCATAATATGAACGTCTCGCGTTTTTAAAAAACAAAAAATGCATCAAGTGTGACTGCTTGTCTGTGTCGAAATAATAATTTCCGGGGAGGGGCATAAATAGGGTTTGGGACTTGATGCTTTACATATTCGCTCGAAAAATAAATAGGAGAAAACTGACACAAAACTAAATAAATGTATAAATGATACAAAACATGTATGATGTCTAGATTTTAAAATAAGAAAATATGTAAAGGTTTGTTGGTTTTGATTGCATATTTTAAATAAATTATCATTGTTTTAGATAATTTATAATAAAAATAAAAATTTTGAACGAAATGTATTAGTAAAATTTAAAAATACTATCCAACTTTTAAGAGATATTTTTAAAAAATTAAAATTATGTACAAAACTACTATATTATAGGTTACATGAAGTATGAAATACATTTATTAGGATTTTAACAAACAAATGTAAAATGTTTTTCCTGTTTCCCCGATGCTACCATCCGTTTAATTGGAAAAAAAATGAAATCATGTTTAACTGCGCTTTTTCAAATTTATATTATTGCATAATATTTTACTGCACATGATATTTATATAATCGATGGCTCACGTTTTATTTTATCTCTTTAAGTGCGTATATTTAAATGCTTATTTGAAAGTATTTTTTTGCACATCAGGTCAGCCCCGTTTCCTGGTCATTATTATTATTATCATTATCACACTTCAATATTTGTGCATTAAAACGTTATCACCGACACGTGTCAATTGTACTTTGCGTAGAGTGCAGCGACGAACACTCGTGCCAAGGCCTGGGCGAGCACGCTCACTTTGGGAACTTCGGCATGGCGTTTCTGACGCTGTTCCGGGTGGCCACCGGTGACAACTGGAACGGCATCATGAAGGACGCACTCCGTGAGGACTGCGACAGCGCGGCGGACTGCGTGAAAAACTGTTGCGTCGCCGACGGCATAGCGCCCATGTTCTTCGTCATATTCGTGCTGATGGCGCAGTTCGTGTTGGTCAACGTAGTGGTCGCCGTGCTCATGAAACATCTCGAAGAGTCCCACAAACAGGTACGCACTCCGTTTTAAGCTCCGAGTGGTTTTTCACTTATAATCTATATTAGCCATTTAGACCCATTTCCACTTCTACAACCATCTCCCCCAACCGTTTCTCTAAGTGCTGCCAGCTCTTCATCGCTTTGCGCCTTCCTTGCACTCCCAATATACTTAGATCGTCTTCGGCTTCCATAATCTCTTTCCACGTTTCTCTATGCGCTGGTTGTGCTGCCAACTCTATTCACCATTCAGCGAACCCAATATTTTTAGATCGTCTTCGACTCGGTCTTCCAGCCGTTGTCTAGGCCTTCCCCTCAGACGACTTTTATTAGGTCACCATTTCATCACCGTCCGTATAAGTCAATGAGTCGTATAAATCTATGATGCTCACCATACATATCCTTAAACTCGATGTCTTAACTATACAAATGGCTTCATCAGATACATTTTCATCTCTGAATTCCATTATTTTCTTATCATTGCGTGTTTCTCTTGTCTTCTCCCACAAGTAACTGATCAAGGTACAACATTTTCTCTTGCCCAAATATATATAAATAAGAATTTCTAATCGCATGCTGTTTTTAAAAAGTCTATCCGCATCGTATACTATGGTGATCAAGCGTTATATATTATGTATTATACATTTTAATTTGCATAATTGTATTTATTTTGTATACTATTAAACTCTCAAGACTGTGAGTAATTTCCTAAGTCTATACAACTGCAGAGATGGGCCATTTCGCAATTAATATCATTATTTCATAATTAATTAAAATTAAATAACATTTTTTATAAATAAGTACAATAAGGTACATTTGGTAATAATAATAATTATTCAATTATAAAAATTACTTAGTTAGAGAAGAAAAATGAGAAGAGAACTCAGTTAATTATTATTAAATGGCGTTGTATGATATTATTTAACGTGGTAATGGTCGAAAAAAAAGTGAACATGAAGTTTAAAAAAAATATTTATAAGTGAACAAAACCTAATACAATGTACATAATATTATATGATATCGTTATTACATTACCAAAATCCAAAACATGTAAATCAATGTTTTGTTCCAGCATGCTTCTCGGATACAGTCAGGAACTTTCTCCCTTGTTTATAGTTGTAGACTTTTAGCCTTTGTCTCTTTTCGAGGTATTTGATCGTTCAATACACTATAGGTATATTATATTCATCCACCTCGCGATTTTCCCATAAATTTCCTTCACTTCAAACGCCTATTTACTGTGTATTATAAACTGAACAATACTATATAACGTGTAAAGTACGGTAACGACGTATAATGTATATATGTATATATATATATGTACCTACCTAAAATGTATATGTAATATTATATGCATTATGCACGCAACGTTTGTTTGACAAAATAGCTGACGTGGTATAAAATAAACAATTGGATGATTTATTTTTAACTGGCTACACTCTCGTTTTATAAGTCTGATGTTTCGGTTTTGAAAAGGAAAAAATGTTTTTCATACAGTTCGAAGGATACGAGAATGTATTAAAAATTATGATCAACTAGGGGACCTAATATAATTATATAAATAGAAGACCCGACGCATTTTCGTTATATAATATAATAATATATATTCATTAACTTTTGTTGTTGAAATTCTTTTATACCGGCACTCGATTATGAAAATTATTTAACCATCATATTATTATTTATCATCGCGTTGTGTGTTATTATTGTTTGCTGTAAATTAACGAAATGTGACAACCGTTATTATAAATTATCATTATTATTGTTAGGATTTGTGTTTTTCGTTTCGTCTTTTTCGGGTCAACTTATCCCTGCATCGTATAGCGTACGCACTCGAAAGCTCCACGCAAAAAACGGTAGAAGAAATTTAAATGAAAAATAACGATGCCGGTCAAAGTTATTGTCCACGGTACGACGACGACATAATCGTCTAAACGGTTTTTACATTTTACTCGGATCCCTTCAGACCACAGAACCGCAAAAAAATATCATAATGTCATATACCTAACTCAAATTAGTTTAAATATACTCTGGTTTAAAACCAAACTCTAATCTCTGAGGAATATGACCGTCGATTAATCGATTGGGCTAAATAAATCATATCGTTCTTACTTTACTATTATATTATTAATAATCGAGATAATTCATCACAACTTTTTCGACCGTCGTAAAAACGTACGACTGTAATGCATTGCAGTGTATTGTTTTTCGTCGAGATAAACTTTGACTGTTTAATATTTTAATATAGTCGCAACACAATTTTCGTTCGAAATTTCTATATATCGTGACGTGTGTTGCGTGTATTTATAGTTCGGATACATCTCTCGAGCTAATAAAATTACGGCTATTTCAAGTTTGTATACTCCGAGTCTCTCGAATAATATTATATTATTATTATAATCTCCGTAAAATCTTTTATACTTCCATGCATAGCCGAGAAACGATATAAAATAATATATTGCAATAATGCGCGTCGCTCCTCGCGGGTATACATTCACTTCAAATAACAAATATTGCGCATATAGTAACAATAATAATAATAATATAAACGATGCCAAAGAAATAAGAACGTTCGATTTGTAAAAAAAGTAAATTGTACATAGATATATTATATAGGTGCCCATGTAAAACGTAGTTCGTTCCATCAATAAATGCGTTTATTACATGCGAGTTAGGGGTACATTCGAATGTAAAACGCATTTTTCAAATACCTTCTCTACCTATACTCGAAAACATGACATCACGAAAAACACACATCATCGGAGCAGAACCAAGGAATAAATTGAATTTGATTTGTTCCAATGTTGCGTATTATTATCGTTTACTCTGAACGACCGTACCTATTATTATATCGTCATCATCTCCGTGCTTTTCAAGCAGACAGCCGCAGGTCTGGCGTGAATCAGTAACCAAACTATAATTACACGATATCACGAAAATATCATTGTACGCCAGTAGTAGTTTCATCTCGAGATAGTGACGCGAAAATAAAATATATCATGCCCACGAGTCGGAAATTATTTTGTTTAAATTCATTGTTTCTGTAAAAATATACAGGTACTCTAGATAATCAGAATATTACGGTTTTTCCGTTTAATGACCCATTTTTACATTCTAATAAATTTAATTTCTACTACATTTTTTTTATATATATAATATTTCTGACACATTTTGACTACCGGTCGTCTTGCGCTAAGCAATAAAAACAATTTACAACAATAAAATCGCCTCTTTAAATAGTTTTAATGAAACTGATAAAACTATTTTTACTACCAAACCAAACTCAAAAAAAAAAATATTTTATTCTCAATACATTTAGTAGGTATGTCTTCCAATAATGGTTTTCTAATTTTTACATAGAAGTGATCGGTGATCAATTATTTATTTTGAACCATAATCTCTAGACAAAAGTAGAATGTTGTGTTTTCGACAGTTATCTATCACGAAATCTAATTACAATTTAAAATATATTCAAATTTATTTAGCAATGAAAACACAATTTCATAAATTTCGCTCCAAAAATGTTGTAATAGGATAAATATAGACAAAAATTTAAATGTACAGATATTTTTAGTTTTTAGTTTTTTACGGGATTTATTTTTAACGTATCTTTTTTAAATAGTTTGTTATAATTTAATACTTTTAGTAAATATTATATATCTTACAAAATACGTAAAATGAATATCCGTGATTTACTAATTAATCCCACGTGAATTAAATGCGCGGACTTTTAAATTTAAATACACGTGAAGGAAAACACGTGATCACGTGAATCTTAATTCAAGTTCAAATTTGAGAGCTCTAGAATTGTGATAACTCATTTTAAAATAGTTTTTCTATTGAAATTAATAACGTTTTTTTTTTTTTTTTCAAATTTTCTCTGACTTTAAACATTAAAAATGCACAGATCATATAAAAACACATTATGTGATGCTGTTAGCTGTGTTTTTAAATGTTTTGGAATGATAAGTGCAGTTTATTTATATATAATGGAATACATATTTATTTATTAAGCTATTTATCTTTTTTATGGATATTTAATGTGTTTCTGCGCCATTCACAAATCAATTTTTTTTTATATTTGGCGCAATTTAACATCGCATACCGTTTTCTACATGGACATTGTAACACGTGAAAATAGTTGAAAACTTAAAACTAAAAAGTCAATTTAATTATTATGGTACCCATTTTTAAAATATTATATTCTTCAGCGCAGCAATGTAGCTATTTTGCCTATACGATACGCCGTTTTACAAATTATTTAAACCGTCAGGTTCTAAAACAATATTATTCAGAGTTGAGTTTGAGTACACAGTATTTATAATTTATGATATTTAAAAATCTTAAGTATCTTTCACACAGAATCAAGAACAAATTATAAGTGTCCATCATAATAATAAAAATTGTTATTTTTCATTGTTCGTAGATGGAGGACGAGATGGACATGGAAGATCAATTGGAGAGAGAAATGGCTGCAGAGGAAGAAGAACAATTGGTTCAAATGGCCCTTGACCATGAGTACTCGATTCAAAATCCTTTGTGCAAAGAGTTTTCGCTACCCGCCGACTTCACCTTTAAAAGTTTGCCACCTTCGCCTCTATACCAAAGTAAATCAACAACATCGATTATAACGTTATACAGTGTGGCGTGAAAAAATACGCGATCTGTGTCTAGAGATTAGCGGGGTCTCTTACGAATATTATTTGTTTTTAGGGTGTTTTTTTTATAAACTTTTGTATCAAACTTGTTGTATTGTGTTTATTAACAGGTCAAGGACGACGATTTTCTTTCAACTCTTGGAGTGGTAGGATGGCGGAACCGACTATCGTACCGTCGCAGAGAAGACGTCAGACCGTCCAGGAGTCGAACATGCTCGTCCCCCCAGCGCTCATGCCAACTTTCATGATTCCTCATTTCGAATCCAGGAACCGGAAATCGTCGTTGAGCGCACCGCCCCGGAGTGATGTAACGCGACCCAAACCATTGCACGTCGATTCCGCGATATTATAGCTCGTTGTTTTTCGTCCACGCGCAGGTCACTCGGAGGGACAGCGTCCGGAGTTCCGGTTCGCAGCGGCCGGCGACTGACCATCCAGAGGCCGCCGGTCAACGCCAGCAGCCCAAGCAGCAACTGCAACAGCTGCATCAACTGCAACAGTTTACGGACTGGCAGTCGTCGGCGAACCAGGTGCAGCTGCAGGCGAGGTGCGTCTCGGAGGCGATCGCCGCCGGTCAGGCGACCGGTAGCGGACATCCGGCGGCGGTGGTGGCCAAGAACAGCTCTGTGGCCTCGGCGCTGCTGGCCGTACCGGCGGCGCCCAATCCGAACGCCCTGGCCGCTCCGCCGCCCACGCCGCCACCGTCTCTGTCCAAGTCGTACGTCACACTGGCCATACCCGAGGAGTGCGCAGTCGACGTACCGCTGTTGCGGTCACGTTTCCCGCTGGTCAGGCGACCGGAAGACCCGACCTCGTCCGGTGTGACCGCCGCCGGTCCGGTCAACACGCTGGACGTGCGGATCGAGGCGAGCGTCAAGAGAAAGACCTGAGCAGCCTCCGCCGACACTGTCGATATAATGATACTGTTGTTATTAATATTATTACTATTATTGTTATCATTGTCATCGTCGTCGTCGTCGTCGTCGACATTATTATTATTATTATTACTATTACTATTATTATTATTACGAAATTCGCACCACCCGGTGCTGCAGACTATCGTCATTTTTGCAATTTTAACATTTTATCGCGTGTACAAAAACTCTCCTCGGGACCGCTGGGTGGCAAGAAACGTGCTCGCTCTGCAAAGAAAAACTTATTATTCATCAATAGAGTTTTCGGAATCGTTTATAATATTATTGATGCATGAGAATATTATCAAACATCTGTCTGTGATGGAAAACCGTTTAATCGCGTCGAATACTTTGACCAACTGCCGGTATTATTAGATAGGCACCTAACCTACAACTTTCATAATATTATATTTTGTGCCTGTGAACATAATATTATGATTATGATAAATTAAAATGAGCCTTAACTGAATATAGGTACGATAAACGATAAGTATAAATCAAATATATTATTATTATATACATTTCATCATAACGTCAAGACGTATGCGTATATAATATACAGTAAAATCGAATAATTTAAATTATCGTATTATCAAACAAAAAAAAAAAAAATACAATTTGGGTGAACTAAAAAATAATTAATGATAATTACACAGAAAATATTACATTCGGACGAATCGGACGAAAAAAATCAGTCGATCGATCAAACTGATTCCGTACAAATCGCAAGTAAACGCGCGATATTCGAGATACCTAACTTTATTTTTGACAGAACTAGAGAATCCGAATTATAAGACTCCTTACTCCATTGGTTTCACCTAAAAACCGACGTGCCTGTCGTGTACATTGTCATCCGTTTGAATTATTTTTTACCCTAAGCGATTTGCTTTTGCAAAAATAATGATGAGCTCGACGAGACGCCGTTGGTGGAACGTGATTTTTTACGCGGCATTTGTTGTTTGTCGAAAGGTTACCACCACTCGCTGGTCCGTCCATCAGGACGTGTCTATGTCCGTCCATCAGGACGTGTCTATAATACGTAATCTATACCTAAGCGTATACATATTGTATTTCACACCTGCTCTGATAGTTTCCCGTCGTCACGAATAGGTATTATAATATTATTTTCCGATGTAATGTTATGATTTAAAATATTTATTGTCATCGACGATAAACCCGTTTTGGTTTTAACCCCCCCCCTCCCCCTAATACGCGCACGTACAATACATAATATTATACCTACCGTCTATACACCAGTTATTTATTATAATCCGATCATCCTATATTACGATAACGGCTACAGCTATTATTGGGTGTGTAAGAGGACTTATCGATTCCGCCCGAACGTTTTGTTTCGGAGAAAGTTAAATGTCAACTACGTCGAGTCTTAGAATTTATCAAAAGAAAAAATATTTAGGAATCAGTTATACGTTTTCGACTGAATTTATATTTTACTAAATTTTTCATTTATAGTTAATCTGTATCACAAGTCATCATAATATTAATATCATGTACTGACCTAACATAATATTAATTTAAATAATGCTTAATATTATATAGGTGAGTAAAATAAATTTAGAATATAGTTCGGTAGGTAGGTATAATTAATTTAAAAAAAATATTTATAGTTAAAAATAATGATTCACATGGTATATGTTGGACGTTAACCAACGACCATCACTTTTATACCTAGCTTGTAATCATTTTAAATGTTAATGTATTATTATATTAAATTTAAGGCTCGACTGAATCAATAGCCAGTGGAGTCGCGATAAGACATTTCATTAGACTTTATGAATTGTCGAGAATTAATGTGCTGAGTGTATAAGCCAATTAAGTCAATATACGCTGGACAAATCGATAACATTTTTATCCGTTTGCATTTCGCCAAAACTCGAAATTTATTGTAATAATATTAATCGCTTTATTATTAAAGGTGTTTCTCAGTTCTCTGATGAATTTGATTTCTCTGAGTGTTTTCAAAAGTTGAATTGTCTTAGACCTCGATGAAGATGTACGAACAAAAAATAGTGGGTACCTAACGTCATTATTTCAAAGATATAGTTTGTTCTCAGAAACAATTTTCTTTACTCTATAGTATCGAAAAAAAAACTTAATCAAATCAATTTCTAAATTCGTCGTCTTATGAAATATTTACCCATAGCAATATTAATCAATTAGATAACAACTGTTCACCTTTTTCGAGGATGTTAAGAAATATTAAATGTGTTATGTTGTACCGTCTTAGCGCATAATGTAAAATACTGAGGGTGTTTGAAAAACGTTTAGTTCAAAATTAGCGACAAGTGTTTGTTTTTTATTTTCCATTTTAATGCAATTTTTGAAAATCAATTATATTATTATATTAATTTATCAATCGACCAATAGGACTGACAAATAAAGTTATTTTAACTAATTTAAAAAATAGAATCCGTTAAATACAAAATATGTTTACAAAATAATAACTAATGAAAATGTGTGATTTCCTAGGGTTTAATATCTGTAACAATTTAATAGTTGTTCAAAAATTCGAAACATTTCAGACTTTTGTTCTTGAAGTCTATTGAACTTTAATTACATAAAAGTATACACTACAAATTCGCACTACCTAAAGGAACGCGTTTGACTATTCGATAACACATGATAATATATTATGCAATATGTAAAAAAATAATAATATACAGTATGTCATAATATGATTTAAACTTTTGAGATGAACCCGCCGTTCTAAGATTCCAAATTTCTAATTTGTTAATTATTTCCAGTGTATTCAATAAATTGGTCTAGTTGTATTAACGACATAAAATAACGTAAACAACGTATACATATATTTTTTAAAGTAACAGATATTTATTTTATATTTGTTAATACGTATTGTAAACTATAACCAGATAAGATTACCTAGTCGTTTCAACTAGACATTCAATAATGTAACTACTATGTAAATTGCAACTGTATATAAATATATAATAATATTTGTAAATCGATAATAGTGCAGAACAATAAAAATGCGAATACTGAACAATTGATATTATTATCGAGTGTTAAGATATATTATAATAAGTATAATATAGTACGTACCTACATGTTATTCTAATAACCTGCTAACAATAGAGTGTTGTTTTTCTAGATTTTTATTGAACACGAAAGCGTACCTATACGAATCGAATTATTTCCAACATCAAAATTCAACGTATGTAATCGATTCAAAACGCATTATAGGTAGGTTATAGTCATTCCGTAGGTAGGCACATAACAATAGTCTATGTACGCGTCAAAACAATCGCAGTTGAAATTCAAATCAAATATGGATTGCACCATCGATATAATAGCACAATACCGATTTCAGCCGTGTTTACAACCGAAATGGTCATAGTATTCATGTAATAGTCTAGTTGGGTATTTTTTTTTTTTTGTCGTTTTTAATTCTTTTAATTTTGTTCGGCCTACATAGTATGAAAGGTACCCCGCAAATCTCTGTCACTGGTGATAGGTCTGAGGTACCTCTACCTTGTGCGAACAATATCCATTTAGTTTTTGTAATAATGACATGGGTGGTAGTAATAATAAAAATAATAACGATAAATATTATTGTATCATTGGACGTTTATTTTCGATTATAGAATATAATATAATAAAATAGTCAATTTATTTATTACGTTTTACCTTCCTAGTGAAAGTATATTAATTAATATGATATTATTATTATTATTATTATTCGAATCTGTGATAAAGTCAAATTTTTAGATACCTATCGCCTTAATATTCGTATGTATCTAAGTATATTATTATATGTGTGTGTGTGTGTGTGTGTGTGTGTATATATATATATAAATAGAGGGTGATGCATTTTAATGGCGTCACTACTTTTTTTTGTTAAAAAAAATGTATGTATTTTCGGTTTTTAATAGTATTCTAAATATATATTATAATGAAAATACCGAAAAACTTCAGACTATAATAAAATGTTTAGATACCTATCGCCTTAATATTCATATGTATCTAAGTATATTATATGTGGGCGTATATATATATAGAGGGTGGTACGTTTAAATGGCGTCACTACTTGTTTTGGTTGAAAAAAATGTACTTTTTTTTTTAATTTTAGTATTATTCTATAAACTTGTAATGAAAATACCGAAATAGGTAGGTACTTCGGATTATAATAAAATCTTTTTTTTTCAAAAACACTAAAAATTACTTGGAAAATAAAATTAGTGTAGCCCGTTAAATGGATCTCACGCTTTACATGTAAAATATTATAATATATTATAGTAAAATTGATCTTTACATTATAATAGGCGTTAAAATATTACGCTAATATCTGATTTTGTATAGTTATTATTTTTTTTCTAGAAAATGTAAAATCAAAATCGTCCAAATTTGATATTAATATCTAAATACATGTGTGTATATTATGATTTATTTTATGTCTAGTCTTTAGATATTGATTAGTGATTTTCTATGAGACTGCCTATTTCTTAAGTATATAACTTTTGTTTAGCATCTAATAATTATTATTATACCTATAATATTATTCCCAGCTTGTATTAAATAACATTAATATTTTAGTGCAGAGTATTATAATGTTGTAAGCGTAAAAAAACTCTGTACTACTCTTACTCTCTCTCTCTCTATCACTCTCTGTCTCTCTCATTCTCCATCGAGCTCTTTATTGTATCTCTCAAACTGACTTATTATTATTGTAAAATCATACTATTACCACGTATATTATTATTATGTATTATTAACGAATAGAATACATATCTTTGACAATTTTTATATAATTATTTCTAATATATTATATTTAGAATGTCTCAGTTAAGTGTTATGTACAGTAAAACTACTCTTTGGACTCGAAAAAATAATAATTCAAAGTAACGAATATATTCCCTTGAAACATTTTCTACCCTCATCGGTTGTCCCTCGCAAAAATTTCAAATTAATTTGGTTATCGACTCTTTGGAGTCGTAGGC